ATGAGTCCAGTCGGTGGCACTGGCTCAAGGGCGATGCTGACAGGGAGACGGTTCCACTGAACACAATACTTTATAGTTTTGTGTAAGGGTGCTTCCAGATGGGGTCCTTATGTTGCAAACAGGTTGTTGAAATGGTTTGTTTCTGTTCACTGTGGGCTAAAGGGAGTCTCATGCTTTTCGGACAGGAGCAACATCTATCTCCATTTGTTGTTGTTTCTTGAAAAAAAATATGTACGTATAGAGTGGTATTGCACAAGACTAGCATTTAGCTCTACCAGAATCCTGAAAAAGAGGTCTTGCACAAGCTCTTCAAAGTCCCCGTATATGTACTGCAATTAAGAAATCCTCCGCATGGCGTGAGACCTCAAGAGAACGACTCCTCCAAACTTGTTTGTTGAAATCCCGATGTGCAACTGGAAAAGGCACACTCCTGTCATTTGGGCTGCCGGGAACGAAAAGAGGTAGGTTGCGCTCAAGTGAGGAGCAAATGGAAGTCAATGTGTGCTGATGTATGGACAACCCAGCGAAACATCACCGCTCACGTGACAAACTGCCCATCCCCCCCAAAAATATGCTAATGACCTTCTAAGCCAGCAATCGATACAGATGTATGACCGGTTCTTTTAACTTAATTAATTTAACATGTGACTATGTTTGGCAGTGAAGCGGGATATGGGTGGCGCAGTGGGTTAAACCACAGAGCCTAGGACTTGCCGATCAGAAGGTCGGCGGTTTGAATCCCCGCGATGGGGTGAGCTCCCGTTGCTCGGTCCCTGCTCCTGCCAACCTAGCAGTTCAAAAGCACGTCAAAGTGCAAGTAGATAAATAGGTACCACTCTGGCAGGAAGGTAAACGGCATTTCCGTGTGCTGCTCTGGTTCGCCAGAAGCGGCTTAGTCATGCTGGCCACATGACCCAGAAGCTGTACGCCGGCTCCCTCCGCCAATAAAGCGAGATGAGTGCCGCAACCCCAGAGTTTGCCATGACTAGTCAGGGGTCCATTTACCTTTACCTTTATGTTTGGCAGCACAGGGTGGGAAAAGGACCTTGAGCAGGAGAAATGCGTTCCATCCTAGGATTTATTTCGGCTGCCCATTCCTGCCCCCAAACACACACACTCTGCCACCTTCCGTTCCCCAATCATGGCAAACTACAGATATTTTTGCAGCGATTCTGCCCGGGTCATACAATTTCCCTACATTGTGATGGCATCCTGCTTTGTAAACATGCAACCTGACGAAAGGAGGCAGCTTATGGAATGGGTTTTATCCATCTGAGTGGCTGCCATGAGAGTTGCCCTATAGCAAGAGTAAAAGGTAAAGGTAAAGGGACCCCTGACCATTAGGTCCAGTCGTGACCGACTCTGGGGTTGTGGCGCCACACGCGTCCTTCTGTAGCAAGAGTGGGGAACCTTTATTAGCCAGAGTGGGCCATGTATCCTCATGGACAACCCTCTGGGCTTCCGTATTGGGCAGGGCCAGATGCAGAAGGAGGTGGGACAACTGCAAGTGGAACTCTCAACCGACTTTAAAAATAATATTAAGCAGGTAGTGGGCAGCAGATGTTGGAAGGAGAGGCATGAACAGGTTGGAAGCGTATTGTCTGGCCATCCAAGCATCCACTTGCTACAAGAGGGGCTCCCTCCCCATGGGGCCATCCCACTCCTGAGTGGGGAAACAAAGGCCTCTTTTATCACCCCCCAGTAAACATTCTGGATGTTTGCTGGAACAGGCCTATTAAAGGCACAGGCATCTTTTCCATGCCCTAGCATGGGTAGGCAAACTAAGGCCCGGGGGCCAGATCCGGCCCGATCGCCTTCTAAATCTGGCCTCGCGGACGGTCCGGGAATCAGCGTGTTTTTACATGAGTAGAATGTGTCCTTTTATTTAAAATGCATCTCTGGGTTATTTGTGGGGCATAGGAATTTGTTCATTTTTCCCCCCTTCAAAATATAGTCCGGCCCCCCACAAGGTCTGAGGGACAGTGGCTCAGCCCCCTGATGAAAAGGTTTGCTGACCCCTGATTGTTTTCAAGTGAGCAGAAGAATAGGCAGAGTGCTTTCTCTGCCAGGACACATGCACAGAAGGCCACATGTATTGGCCACAAGCATCAAGGCAAGAAACCACAAGCCTTACCTTGTGGGAAGTGCGTAACAGTAGATGTCCACAGCTGGATCATGTTTCAGGGCATCATTGCATTTTATTTTATTTTCATTTTTTGCTATAATTTTGTTTATTGCATTTATAGAACATATTTTCCTCCTAGTCGCTCCAGATGGTGTAGGAGGTTCTCATCCTCTTTGTTTTCTTCCCGCAACAACCCTGGCAGGTAGGTTAGACTGAGAGGCAGCGACTGGTCCATTCTCCTAGCTCTGCTCTTCAGCCTTGAATGACAGCTGGACAGGCCGGAATGAAGCAGGTGAAGCTTTTATGCATGTGGAGGTAAGAGCTGGGGAGGGCTGCACCTGTCTGATTTCTGCCTGTCGGGATGCTATGAAAAGGCAGAGGATCCAGTCTTGCAGAAATTGTAGTTTTATTTATTTATTTAATTTTTACACTGCCCTTCATCCGCAGATCTCAGGGTGGTTTGCAACATAGAATTACAATATGAAAACGACAAAATACATAGTAAAATTAAAAACAGCAATGAACCAATAATCTCCCCTCCCACAACACATTTAAAAGGGCATCAGATGTCAATCAGCCAAATGCCTGGTTGAAAAGGAATGTTTTCGCCTGGTGTGTACCCTCCAATACCCTCCAATGAAAATAGGGACGTCCCATTCCATAATGATAATTTTACTATTTATACCTCCCACATTTTATTGGGTTGCCCCAGCACTCTGGGTAGCTTCCAATACTGTGTGTGTGTGTGTGTGTGTGTGTGTGTGTGTGTGTGTGTATATATAACAATTCAAAAAAGAACTTCTACAAAACAAAGAGAAACTTTTGTCTAAAATGTATACAGTGGTACCTCGGGTTAAGTACTTAATTCGTTCCGGAGGTCCGTACTTAACTTGAAACTGTTCTTAACCTGAAGCACCACTTTAGCTAATGGGGCCTCCTGCTGCTGCCACTGCGCCACCGGAGCACGATTTCTGTTCTCATCCTGAAGCAAAGTTCTTAACCTGAAGCACTATTTCTGAGTTAGTGGAGTCTGTAACCTGAAGCATATGTAACCTGAAGCATATGTAACCCGAGGTACCACTGTAATCTTTTTATTAGAATGGGAGACAAAAGACAAGCTTGTTAAAGCCTCAATGACACACTGAGCAATAGATATAGGACACAATATAGATATTAACCTCTGGGACAAACTCTGGGAAAGTGACTTGACATTTACAGCATGTTATTCTTTGAAGGAGAACTGCCTGAAAATAATTCACAGACTTGATAAGATGTATAAGACAGAATCAGATAAGCACTGGAGATGCAAAGAGGCAGAAGGAACATTCTTTCATATGTGGTGGACATGTAAAAGGGTAAAAGAGTATTGGGAAATGATCTATGATGAATTGAAAAAATGTTTAAAAGTACTTTCCCCCCCAAAAAACAGAGTCTTCTGCTGGCGTCTAATGAAGGTGCCAGCCGAACCTCCCTGGGGAGAGCATTCCATAAATGGGGAGCCACTGCAGAAAAGGCCGGTTCTCATGTTGCTACCGTACAGACCTTTCCCAAAGGAGGCACTAATTAATCTCAAAACTAAACCCTAATGGGGAGAGAGAGAGAGAGAGAGTGAATGTGCCAGGAAGAGGAGTGGTCAGGAGCATATTTTGCATGGAATTCTTGAGAGGGGTGTTCATTTATTTTTATTTTTTGAGTTTATATATATATATTTATTAAAGATTTCTTAGTTTACAAAAATACATGCCTTGTCTCTTTTTTCAAGCTTATGAGAGCATGGAACATAGTGAGCGAAAGAGAAAGATATGTGCAAGACAGTGAGAATGACATGGAACTGGGTGTGTATGTCTCCACTATTACTGTAATCCAGTGCACTGTCATGGTTTCCCTCAAGAAACCCTGGGACCGTAACCCCATGACAGGATTAAGACATTCACCCAGGAATGCTTAGCATTGCCACAAAACGACCATTCTCAAGAAACCCCAAGAACACTTAAAGCATTAAAAAATAATAATTCCTCAGGTTTGTAGCATAGCTACAACCTCTGGTTCTCATTGTGTGTTTCTTAAATGGCGGCCTTGTATCTGAAATGTAACCTGTCCTCACGCCCAGCACCATCTTGCCGTGTGTCCCTGTGGAGCGCTTGTCGTGACAAACATTGTCACGCTGCGTCCAGTTATTCCTTGCAGGTGGGAACACTTAGGTTGTGTGACAGCATGAGTGTGACCTGCACATTCGGGACCAGTGGAAGACGTTCCGTCGCCTGAGGCAAAGGACAAGATGGCGCCTCACCACCTCCACCAATTCCATATACAGAAACCGACAAGAGGCGAGAGAGATCACCCGCCACTATACTTGGGTGCAGCAGGCCAGTTTAGGGGGCGCAGGGCAGGCCGTGTGACACACACCACTCCATCTTCTCCCAGCCCCTCATCATCTGCCGCCTGAGGCAGCTGCCTAACCCCACCTAATGACAGAGCCGGCCCTGTGCTGTGTATTGAAGCGCCGTCTTGCGTGTACTCCTGCTTGTCTTCCCTTTTGTTTTATTCCGTTCTCTGGCATCCCTGTTCGTTTATATCTGTTTGCAGGGTATGTTTGTGCCAGGGTAGCCTCGGAGCGGCAGATACGCTCTCTCTAGTTTTCTTCCTTTGTGTGGTGTGTGTTTGTGGTGTTCTGTGGACTCTCTTCCTTCGAGCTCTGTAAGTGCAGATAGGAGACGGCTCTGTGGCCTTTCTTGGAAAGGCAGGGTGCAACACAAGGCTTTGTGGGAGGGAAGAAAACCCTTGAGCCATCGCCGCCACCGGCCCTGTGGTTTCCCTGCCCCTTGCACAGGGGCGGCTCCTGTTATGTAATATCAGCAGCCCCCAGCGAGACAAGGCGGGACACGCACTGTACAGCTCTGGCCACCTGGAGTCTGTGGGACCGACTGCTGCAGCGATGGAAGCTCCTTGAAGGCCTTTTTCAAGCAGCCCTAGCCCGTCAAGGGAAAACGGCACCCACCGCTTGGAAAACTGGGGGGGTCCTTTCTCCTGCACATCCCAGAGGAGACCCTTTCCCCTTTTTGCTTCCTCGTCCACCCTCTCCGGCTGCACACCTGGCCCAGGCAGCCAGGAATTCCTGCAGGTAAGGAGCCATGCTGCCACTGCCTCAAAGGGTACCATTGTTTGCAGCCCTCTCTAGCAAGGCGGGGGCTATTTGTCTCCTTGGTTGCGTGGCCAGGTGAGAGAGAGGGGTGAAGGCTGTAGCAGGAGCAAGAAGAGGGGGGAGGATCTCAAACCGAGCCGCTCTTCCTATGGGAGCCCCCCGCCCTTTCCCAAATAAATGTTAGAAATTCTAGGGCCAGCCATTTCCCTGGCCCATGGGGTAGACAGGCATCACCTTCAAATCTCTCCCTCTACCCACCCCCAGAAAACTCTGGTTCCTGACAGAAGTCCCTCCAGCTCTCTGCATGTCAGGTCCTTCACTAGTTTGGGCAGGTAGCTTTTTCAGAGGGACTTAACTCATACAACACGGGCTCCAGGGACTTTTTTGTGTTTGCGTCTCATGATGAGGAGCAAAGAAGCTTCTTTCCCTCAGAAGCTGCCCTTACCCATGTTCAAGTTACAGGTGCGTTTATGGGGTGTTTTGATCAGGAACCTTTAATGGCTTGTTCCCATTGCGTCTCTTTTTTCTGAGCAACTGTGTCTCATTTTGCAAGGGAAAATGCAATTATTTCCTGAACCCCCGGGGTGGAAGGGAGTAGAACATTTGTACATACAAATGACGCACACCAAGGTCACATTTGCACCATGCTCTTAAAGCACTATTGCACCTCTTTAATGGTTGCGCAGAATCTTGGGAACTGTAGTTTGTTAAGGGTTCTGATCTCACAGAGCTAAAGTTCCCAGCAACCTTAAGAAAATACAGTTCCCAGTATTCCCCGTGACTTTGAATATATGGTCTGACTGTGGCATTAGGCTGCAGCATTCTCCCGTGGGGCAGAGAGGTAATTTTAGACTCTGGGTTATGATGTTAAATGGCCGTGTATATTCGCTGCAAAATATTTGTAAAATAGCCTTTGCTTGCTGCAGTTGTTGCCACACACACACACACACACCCTGCACCCGTTCATTCTGCATGGGCATTTTTGAAGTGCGCAGGTTCACTTGCAAACAGGCCAGCAACAAGTGGCCTTGTGCACAAACACAACTCAGCAATACAAAACCACACGGATGAAGAGAAACATCCTTCACCTATTCCAAGTCTTGTGCGTGTACATTTGTGTTGCAAGCCAACACAACCAGCCTGTGTGAGGATGAAAGAAAGCGGCTGTCACAGCCGTTATAACGGCAGGGGTGGGGAGTTGGGCATTTGCAAAAGGAAACACCCCCATACTTCTTGAGCTGGGGTATGCAGTTGCTTCATGCGTGCTTGTGAAGACACTTTCCTCCCATATTATGATGCAAGATGACCTGTGGGAATCCTGGAGTAAACACAAACTTTTGGGTCCACGATAGGTGGAAGTTGTTTAAGGAGGTGTGTAGCCGGCCAGCTCTCTCTGATTTGAATCCAGGGCTGAGGTGCAGGTGTTGGATTTGGGTGTTGTGGCTCAGGGTCCCTCCAGACTGTTGTTTTATTTCGGGTGTCTTCTTGCAGCATGTTCTTGACACAATAACAGGGTGTTGGTGGTGGTCTTATTCTGCTTTATTAGCTGTAATTTTCTTATTTATTCCACAATATTTACCACTTGATTGCCATAAAGCATCAAAGCGGTTTAGAAAAAAAGAATAAATTTAAAAATGAGTGGAAAAACCAGTTAAAAACAACTATTTAAACCACTCAAAAATAATAGAAATCAACAGGCTAAAAAAACACACACAATTAAAACATGTGCCAGCTAGCCTTTTCTAAACAAAAACATTTTTTAGCAAAGAGAACAGTGAAGGCTGCTGCCTGATGTCAATCGGAAAGGAGATCCATTTATTACACGTATGATGCTTTCCCGGTGCTATTGCTGTCTGAAGGGGCTATCATGCAATAAAAGTGAGACAACCCGATCCCTCAGACTTTTGTGGTATGAAAAGTTATGGGATTTCAGCGCATGTACTGGTGGGAAATGAAGCAGTATAACTGCCCAAAGACTTTTGCAGGAGCAAATAGTATTGAAGGTGGGGTTGTGTCTGACAGCCCTGACAGCAGCATGAACACAAATCATCACAAACGCCCTATAGAAAATATGTCTCTTGAGTCTGGGAATGTGTGAGGTACATGAGCCAGAGCAATGTAATGGAGCACTGGATTTGCGTGTGAGATTCAAAGCCTTGCTTAGCTATGAAGTCCCATGGGTTACCTTAACCAAGACAGTTTGAATAACGTTGACTAGAGAGATAGAGAGATGGTAGTGTTTGTTTGCATGGTGGAGAGAAAGACACAAATACACACAGAGAAAGAGAGAGAGGGAGAGGGAGAAAGAACGAGAGAGACTTATATATAGTGCTTTTTTCTACAAAAAAAAATTGTTTAGGGGTACTCTCATTGTGACTCAAGAAAACCACCACTTTATAGTTCAAATCAGGGAAAATAAATACAGTAAATGGACAAAAGTACAAAGATTCACAAAATGTTTAGGGCTATGCGTCCCCCTGTGTCCCCGTCCCCCCAGAAAAAAGCACTGCTTATATATATAAATATATATTAAATTGTTTGGTTTGTATCATTGCCCTTTTGCCTCTGCTGAAGAAGTTATTTCTTATCTCAGAAACCTGCAAATCTTATTTATCCAGAGGCAGCAGCAGCAGGCCAAGAGGAACATTTATATGCATTGCATAAAGCAAAACCTCTCTCAAACTGCTTTCAACCCTCCTAGAAATTGTAGCTTGGCTTCTGGCGGTATGGTCCTGGCAAGTCGTAAGGAGGATTTTACCAGTACCCTTCTCCCTCAGGCTAGCAGATGTGTTGATGTTATGCTAAAAGGCCACCCTAAGCTCCTTGGAAGATGGCAGGAATAAAAAGATAAAAAGGAGTGCCTTTGAGCATGTTCAGAGTGCCTTCCAAGCGCTCCCAACCCCTCATCTGCAGTTTGGGATAAGGGCTTCCAGAGCAAAGGGACTTTCAGGATGTGTGGTGTTTTGTTTTTAGCTCCGACAGCTCCTATTTTACATGTTAAGTGTATTGGGGAGGGGGGTTTGGACCTTGCTTATTTCCCCTTTATGGTTTGTGGTGGTGCATTAATCTACATGATCCAAACTGTCTAGTCAACCTGCTTGCCGGAGGTGTCATTGTGTAATAGGAAGGTGACTATGCGTGTGTGTGTGTGGAGGTCCCTCTGTTAACGTGGAAGTTTTAACTTGACTGTCTTGCAGGTCTGCTCTGCTTCTTTCTCCTGAGTAGGCTTCTTCTAATCTTCGCGTACCATATCACTCCTCTCTGCCATGCTGTTTCCTCCTGCGTTGTGTGCAGCGGCATCTGTCAATAGCACCACAAATTACTCCTTGCCCAATCTGTGTTGGTGGAGATGGGCAGCACACACACGCTTCCTTTAGGACCACTGTTACCTGGGTGTTATGGGAACATTCCAAAATATGTCTGTGTTTCTCTGTGCGTGTATATTCCAGATAGAAATACGAATAACACACGTGTGTGCTCATGTATGCATGTACACGTGTTCTCAATCTAATGCCCTCTCCTGGATAGAACCAGAAGTCTTTGCGTTATATCTGCTTTCTGTTGTAAATGATTTTTATTGCATTTACATATAATCACGTTACATAAAATTATACCCTCATATTTTATCTCTTTGGCTCAACTGAGCCTAACACTTCCCTCCCTCCCATCTGTTGGTTTACAAAATTAAACTTTACATCTTTACATTTCGCTTCGTTTCCTATCCTTGTTATAGAAGGTAAAGGGACCCCTGACCATAAGGTCCAGTTGTGGCAGACTCTGGGGTTGCGGCGCTCATCTCGCTTTATTGGCTGAGGGAGCTGACGTACAGCTTCCGGGTCATGTGGCCAGCATGACTAAGCCACTTCTGGCGAGCCAGAGCAGCGCACGGAAATGCTGTTTACCTTCCCGCCAGAGTGGTACCTCTTTATCTACTTGCACTTTGACGTGCTTTCAAAGTGCTAGGTTGGCAGGAGCAAGGACCAAGCAACAGGAGCTCACCCCATCGCGGGGATTCGAACCGCCAACCTTCTGATCGGCAAGTCCTAGGCTCTGTGGTTTAACCCAGAGCGCCACCCCTGTCCCATCCTTGTTATATCATTACCTAAAATATTATATTACTCAACCTGAACAGGTAGCAATTTCATCTTACAAATCTTCAGATAATCCTGCTAATGATGTTAATTGCTTACAGTTGTCCTTCCAATATAATATAAATTTGTTCCAGTCCTTTTGGAATGCTTGGTCTCGCTGGTTCCAGATTCTTCCCGTCACTTTCGCCAGTTCTGCAAAGCCCATCAGCTTCATCTGCCACTCTTCTTTTGTTGGTAACTCCTGTTGTTTCCCTCTTTGGGCTAACAAAATTCTTGCCACAGTTGTTGCATATAAGAAGAATTTTTTATCTTGTCTTGGTAGCTCTCTACCCACTATACCCAATAAGAAAGCTTCTGGTTTTTTAACAAAAGTGTTTTTAAACATTTTCTTTAACTCATTATATATCATTTCCCAGAAAGTTTTTACCTCTTTACATGTCCACCACATGTGGTGAAATGTACCTTCCTTTTCCTTACATTTCCTTACAGTTCATTTTTTGTTCTATACATTTTAGCCAGTGTTATAGCTGCTTTCTGGGCCACAGAACTCTCTGCGCTGCTTCGCTTTCTGCCCTGGCGACAGAGTTGGAGTCATTCCCTCCTATCAATGTGTGAGTTCTATATGTAACCGTGGGTATGTGTCAAGCACACACATGGCATTCAGATCTTACACACCTGGAGCCATTCTAAGCAGGTTCCACCTGAGTAAAGGCTCTGCATGTGTGTCTAGGACACGGGTGGAGATCTCAGAACTCTTCTGAGGCCACAAGTCCACTCTCTGCGCCACTCATTGCCACGGCTTTGCACTGCAGATGTTTTGGCCTGGCTGGAAAGTGTCTTTGATCTCTGATGGTGCATTTTGCTTGTCCAGATGGAAGATAGAGAGAGTTGTTTGAGTGTGTATGTACAAACTAGCCTACTGTACAGAGGTAAAAATTACATTCACGGCTCCACCTACTTTGCCTACCGTTCTGGAATGATGTGGCCCTTGAAAGGCTTCACAGAAGGGAATGTGGCCCTTGGTATTGTCTCTCCAGGGTCTCAAGCCATAGAGAGGTTTTTTCCATCACCTATAACCAGACCCTGCTAACACGACTCTGGTTGTTGCTGGACTCTCTCCAGTTCCCGTCAGCCTCAGCTGTCATGTGCAATGGTCAGAGATGATGGGAGTTGTAGTTCAGCATTTGGAAGGACTGCAGGCCCCCCACCTGTTTAAACTGCAGACATTGGGGATTGAGTCTGGCAGCTCAGACATGCAAAGCATGGGTTTACGACAGAGCCATGGGGCCTATTTCCAAACGCCTGGTGTGGCTGGTACACCACCCTCTGAGAAGTGGGAAGGGAAGTCTTGCCCCAATCTTTGGTTGGGCCAGAGATGAGCTTGTTTAGAATGGAGGAACCTTGCTTAGCATGAGGACCACATTCTGTCCTGGGTAAAGCTGTGGGCCATGATCGGCCAGAAGCAAAAATGGGCAGAGCAAGTAGTGCAACTCGTCTTTTTACCAGCTGATTTTCAGCCATGCAAAAGCCAGAGGTTTCGACATACACCCACACCCCTCTGTCTTCCTTCCAGACAAGTGAGAGGCATGATCGCAGTTCAGTAACACATTCCAGCCAGGCAGAAATACATGGCGTGTGAAGCAGAGGAGTGTGGCCTGGGGGCTTGGGGAGAGGGATAGTAGACTGGGGAGAGCCAGGGTGGTGTAGTGGTTAAGAGCGGTGGACTCGTAATCTGGTGAACCAGCTTCGCTTCCCTGCTCCTCCACATGCAGCTGCTGGGTGACCTTGGGCTAGTCACACCTCTTTGAAGTCTCTCAGCCCCACTCACCTCACAGAGTGTTTGTTGTGGGAGAGGAAAGGAAAGGAGCCGCTTTGAGACTCCTTAGGGTAGTGATAAAACGGGATATCAAATCCAAACTCTTCTTCTTCTTCCTGAGAGTTGGAGAAAGAGACTTGTAGGGCTACACCTGAACCTTAGAAGACCAAAGGTTCCTCACACCGGGTTTAATCCAACCCTTAAAAAACCAACCCTAATGTAGGGAACAACCAGCACATCGTGTGATAATGAATGCCACAGGTCAACAAGAACTAAGAACCACCTTACTGAGTCTGGCCTCACGTCATTGTCAAAAGATTTTGGTAGTCACATAATACAAATGCTCATCCCCTGTTGTTTGGGCCCAGTATCTGGCATTCAGAGGTATTCTGCATCTGCATTTGGTGATTCCATTTTGCACCCATAATGCTGGCAGTTTTTGCGTCCTCCATCGCCTCTTTGTTTTCCTAACTTGCCAGATTACCTATTCTTGGGATGGGAGAAACCAACTGGGGAATTTGTAGTTTAGAAATCCCACTGAAGTCTTGCTCGTGTTAATACATTTTCTCTCCCCCATCACCACCATTGGCCTCAGAAGACTTGAGGTGTCTCAGGAGCTCTGGGTGTGGGGTTTCCCCCCCTCTTCTTCTTATGCAACATCCTAGCAGAGGATCGGAAATTGCAGGGCCAGTCTCTGTCGAAATGCACACGGGAAAAGCAAAGGGCGAGAGGCGATAGCAGACCACAGAGAGAGGTTCCGGGGTGGGGTGGGCGGGAGGAAGAGAGCAGAGCAGTTTCAGATCCTTGGGGCCTCCCACAATAACAGTACTTTGCCTATGAGCGCATCACACACCATAAATGTCCCCAGGGAGAAGGAGCGCACCACAGTTACATTGGAGAGCATGGCCAGAGGGATGGATGGCTCAAATCAATGGAGGGTGGGGGCATCACAAATGCAACACACACACATACAAAGGCTACTGGGCTTGAAGACTCCAGCCTAGTGGTTCTCAACCTGTGGGTCCCCAGATGTTCTTGGACTACAACTCCCATCATCCCTGAGCTCTGGCCTTGCTAGCTAGGGGTGATGGGAGTTGTAGTTCAACAACATTTGTGGACCCACAGGTTGAGAAAGGCTGCGAGTCTGGCCTGAGATGTGTAGTGGACCAGCACAGATGTCTTTTCCATTGTGCTTTCATGAAGATTTGTGCTTACGATGGTGCTGGGGTGGCTACCATTGACCCCACTTCCGATACTGTTTACACCTGCAAAAGTTTTGGGGCGAGCGTACTGCTTCACCTCCAATCAGTGCAATCCCATGACATCCCCCTGAAATCTTGGAACTTTTAACAATGAGAGATTCATTCTGCTCCATATTTCTAAATTTCTTTTTACCTCAAGCCAAATTTTTTCATAGTTATTTTTAAATAGGTTTATATTTCTTGATGTTAACCAAATCTTGGAACTTTTCATACCACAAATATTCTTGGCAGTGGGGAGGGAGGGGTTGGAAGAGCAATATTTCAGATAAAAATTGCTTTGAAAAAGATGCCCAAATCCCTGCACTTCAATCACATGAGTAGACTGTGGTTTTTAATAGTTCTGCCTAATCCCTCTCCCTTTCTGTTGGCAAGGAAATTGAATTTTTTAAAGCCTTACATAGCATAAGGTGCATTAGCCAGATGGGCGAGGTGGAAATAATGAAATTATCATTAAATTATTATTAACTGATTGCAGTCACGTGGTGCGATTTTACTACAGTGCAATGGGTGGTCCCAAACTAGGCTAAATTTCTGTTTTTGACTGACTGACTCCAGCTACGAAAGCTGAAGCTGCTGAACACTCCCTTGAGCTGGGATATTGTTTAGGGCAGGCTTCCTCAACCTCAGCCCTCCAGATGTTTTGAGGGGTCCCATCACCCCTGACCACTGGTCCTGCTAGCTAGGGATCATGGGAGTTGTAGGCCAAAAACATCTGGAGGGCCGAGGTTGAGGAAGCTGCTGCTATGTATACTTTTTTTGTATCTTTATTTTCAGATACTATGATTTATATGGAGATTGTTCAGTTGGGTTGTGTACTTTCTGGTGTGTTTTATTTCATAGTTTTTGACTACTTTTGCTATGTTTGTAATTATGTAAATCTTTTCGCATCGTAAGCCGCCTTGAGCATGGTTTTAACTATGGAAAGGCGGCCTACAAATAAGACGATGATTATTGCCCCGCTTTCATTGTGCTATAGCGCATGGGCGCTCCTCCAAATGGCAATAATGTGGTAACACTGGAAAATCATCACCTGACATCTAATAAAGGAGAAGGATTTGTAGGCGGTCCAGGATGACTCCACCAATGATGAACTATTATTGTGTCAGCAGCTATTTTCTACTCTGTTCTGATTGGCAATGGCTCTCCAGAATCTCAGGCAGAGGAAGGTCTTCACCATCACCTGCTGCTGCTGGTGTTGTCGTTTCTCAACTTGAGATGCCAGCAGTTGAACTTGGAATTTTCTGCATGTAAAGCACATGCTCCGTGTTCTTCAGCCTTGAGCCCATCAGCAGCACTCATCCTAGCCAATGGGCAAGGATTATAGGAGTTGTTGTAATCCAACAGCATCCGGTGGGCTACATCATGCAACACTGCTCTGGACTACCTCCCCTCCCCAAACTTATTTTCATGGAGCTTCTCTCACAGCCCCTCCCTGGACCTATTTTTTTTACTGCGCATTCATGATGATTTGTTCTCATGATGCTATTGGAGCAGTCACATGTCAGGCTTCAGGGAATCAGCTTCCTCTCCCATGGCAGTAGATAAGCAGAACAAAGGAAAAGGAGTCTTCTTACCAGTTAGAAACTTTAATAATCACAGTGAGAGAACAAAGAAGAACATCTCCTAGAAATGGCGATTACACTCCCTTCCGTCCCTATTAATCTACGTCACTTCTACATCTTGTAATCTGAGCTTGTACCCTCTGTGCTTTCTGTTCTGCCACTTTCTGAGATCTCTGTGATTTTGGAGAAGGGGTGTGAATGCTGTCCAGAGACTGTGAATCTGTTAACCCTCTCTCTTCTAGTGTTTCTTCTTTCAGCTGTTCCCCATCCAGTATTTCCCATCTTCTTCCTTCTGAACTATGTCGCTCTGCAAACCGCTGTTCCAAATCTATACTGTCCTCCTACTCCTGGGAGGATTCATGATCCGGAGCAGGGGTGGGGGAGGCTCCCACCATTCCTCCTCAGTGTAGCCCTCCTCAGCATGGTCCCTGACACCATCTTGCTTTCAATACAGTTTGTGCCTGCAAACATTTTGGGGATGTCACACTGCTTCACTTGCAATCCATGTACAGTATATCCCATAGCTTCTTGCTGAAATCCCATCACTTTTTCTACCACAAATGCTCTGGTTTATTTTTGTCCTGGGGAATCATCACAGAGCAGAACAAATCCATGGTTGGTGCACTATTCTTGTATCAAGAACATGTTGCAGAATACACCAATAATAATAATAATAGTAATAATAAAAAAAAACAGTCTGGAGGGGCCCTCAAAGGCCTGGTTTAACAGTCATTCTTTCTTCCCAGAGAATGCTGGGAGTATTGTAGTTGTTGGCGATCTCTAACCAAAAATGCGCCGAAAACTTTGACTCCCAGGACCCTTTGGAGGCTAAGACTGGTGGTTGTTGGTACAATGGTTGCCAAAACAACAAAATGTCCTGCGGGAGGGCTCTCAGGATAGCCTTGGGAATTTTATTGCAGTGGAATTAATGTTTGTGAGCCAGCACTCACGGAAGCTTTTTATGCCACAATAGAGGCGGGAGACTTCAAAGGGCCACAGGAATCTTTTCATAGAATTGTGTTCTTGTTTAGTCATTTAGTCGTGTCCGACTCTTCGTGACCCCATGGACCAGAGCACGCCAGGAACTCCTGTCTTCCATTGCCTCCTGCAGTTTGGTCAAACTCATGTTAGTAGCTCATAGAATTGTAGAATCATTGAACTGTAGAGTTGGAAGAGACCACAAGAGTCATTAGCGCCTGCAATGCAGGAATCTTTCTTCCCGTGTGGGGCTCAAACCCACAACCCTGAGATTAAAGAGTCCTGTGCTCTCCTGACTGAGCTGTCCAGGAGTCCTTTATAATGAAGGCTCTATTTTTTCCTTACAACAGACTACATAGCTATTCCTCTGCGATTTGTCACAATAGTAACATGAAAGTGGTGGCTATGCCCCCATACATAAGCCTGTCTACCAGCTCCTTCCTGCCCATGCACTGTCTTGCCAGAGTGGTTCATGGACTGCTTACCTCCTGCTTGGAGTACTGCAACACACTCTACGTAGGGCTACCTTTGAAGGTGACTCAGAAACTACATCTAATCCAGAACGTGGCTGCCAGACTAGTGACTGGGAGCAGCCTCCGGGACCATAGAACACTGGTCCTAAAGGATCTTCACTGGCTCCCAGTACATTTCCGAGCACAATTCAAAGTGTTGGTGCTGACCTTTAAAGCCCGAAACAGCTTTGGCCTTGAAGGAGCATTTTCATCCCCATCGTTCAGCTCATACACTGAGATTCAGCTCCAAGGGCCTTCTGGCGGTTCCCTCACTGCGAGAAGTGAGGTTACAGGGAACCAGGCAGAGGGCCTTCTCGATAGTGGCACCCACCCTGTGGAATGCCCTTCCATCAGATGTCAAGGAAATAAACAACCATTTGACTTTTAGAAGACATCTGAAGGCAGCCCTGTTCAGGGAGGATTTTAATGTTTGATGTTGTATTGTGTTTTAATTTGTTGGAAGCCGCCCAGAGTGGCTGGGGGAACCCAGTCAGATAGGTGGCATAAAAATAAATAATGATGATGATAATCTTCCATCTTGACAGTGGATGGGTTTAATGGTCACACTGTCTTCTAGGCAACCAGCTAGGGGCCACGTGTCAGACCGGTGTGTAGGGATAGAGGGGAAAGTGGGGAGAGCAATTAATGTGAATTCTACCTTTATACGGGTGGCGCTGTGGGTTAAAGCACAGAGCCTAGGACTTGCCGATCAGAAGGTCGGTGGTTTGAATCCCCGCAACAGGCTGAGCTCCCGTTGCTCGGTCCCTGCTCCTGCCAACCTAGCAGTTCAAAAGCATGTCAAAGTGCAAGTAGATAAATGGGTACCGCTCTGGCGGGAAGGTAAACGGCGTTTCCGTGCGCTGCTCTGGTTTGCCAGAAGCGGCTAAGTCATACTGGCCACATGACCCGGAAGCTATACGCCGGCTCCCTCGGCCAATAAAGCGAGATGAGCGAGCGCCGCAACCCCAGAGTCGGTCACGACTGGACCTAATGGTCAGGGGTCCCTTTACCTTTACTTACCTTTATGCAGTAGGCTACTTTCTATGCATTGCCAGAGTTCAAGGACAATTCCAGCCAGGCAAAAACATGCAAAGTAAGACTGGTTGGAGGGTGTGGCCTTGGAGAGTCCCAAGGGCCAGAGAGCTAGGACTAGAGGGCCCCGTATGGCTCCCAGGTCTGAGGTTTCCCATCCCTGCTTTAGCACACAAGTTTACTCAGTCCTCTCAAAGATGCCAGCCAGCTAGACAATATTCAGTGACTTTCCCAATTCAGCCTCCTGGCAAGCAGAAACGAACACAGCATGCGGCTGCCTAAGAGGTTTCTGCTGTCCCTGAGTGTGCCTTCCTCAGAGGAGCAATTTCAAATCCTTGGATGAGCAGGGAGTACTGACACGGTCCCACTCTGTATATTATCTTTCTTGGCATATGCTTCCCCTCCCAGCTTCCTGCAGAAATATAGATATAGATATAGGTTTGTAATCTACCAGGCTCTGGAGTAGGCAACAACATTTTGAAACAGTAGGCACAATCTAGCAAAAGTTCGTCGTGGCTAAGGGTAGTTTTCGACTAAGATGATTAAAATTTGTATACCCGTAGGTCTCAGGGCTATTTGCTGTTTAGTTGTTTAGTCGTGTCCAACTCTTCGTGACCCCATGGACCAGAGCACGCCAGGCACTCCTGTCTTCCACTGCCTCCTGTAGTTTGGTCAGACACACGCTGGTAGCTTCGAGAACACTATCCAACTATCTCGTCCTCTGTCGTCCCCTTCTCCTTGTGCCCTCCATCTTTCCCAACATCAGGGTCTTTTCCAGGGAGTCTTCTCTTCTCATGAGGTGGCCAAAGTATTGGAGCCTCAACTTCACGTTCTGTCCTTCCAGTGAGCACTCAGGGCTGATTTCCTTCAGAATGGATAGGTTTGATCTTCTTGCAGTCCATGGGACTCTCAAGAGTCTCCTCCAGCACCGTAATTCAAAAGCATCAATTCTTCGGCGATCAGCCTTCTATATGGTCCAGCTCTCACTTCCATACATCACTACTGGGAAAACCATAGCTTTAACTATACAGACCTTTGTTGGCAAGGTGATGTCTCTGCTTTTTAAGATGCTGTCTAGGTTTGTCACTGCTTTTCTCCCAAGAAGCAGGAGTCTTTTATTTTCGTGACTGCTGTCACCATCTGCAGTGATCATGGAGCCCAATAAAGTAAAATCTCTCACTGCCTCCCTTTCTTCCCCTTCTATTTGCCAGGAGGTGATGGGACCAGTGGCCATGATCTTCGTTTTTTTGATGGTCTCAGGGCAGTTCACAACAAAAAATTGCAATATAAAAACACAAAATGCATAATAAAAACAAAAACAACTCAATAATTCCCCCCTCCCCAACACATTTTAAAAGGGTATTGGATGTCAATCAGCCAAAGTTAAAGAGGAACGTTTTTGCCTGGCGCCTAAAGGAGTCTAATGAAGGTGCCAGCCGAACCTCCCTGGGGAGAGCATTCCACAAACGGGGAGCCACTGCAGAAAAGGTCCGTTCTCGTGATGCCACCCTCTGGACCTCACATGCAGGAGACACACGAAGAAGGGCCTCAGAAGACAATCTCAGGGTCTGTGTATGTTCATATGGGAAGAGGAAGTCCTTGAGGTATTGTGGTCCTGAGCCGTTTAAGGCTTTATTGGTCAAAAGTGTTATTGGGTATACTCTGAGTAAAACTTAGCCGACATAGGGGTGGTCCCTGTGTCACAGGAACATTGAAAACTACCTTATACAGTCATACCTCAGGTAGAGGTTGCTTCAGGTTGAGTGTTTTCGGGTTGCGTTCCACGGCGACCCGGAAGTAACGGAACGCATTACTTCCAGGTTTTGCCACTCGCGCCTGTGCAGACCCTCAAAATGACGTCATGCGCATGCATAGAAGCAGCAAATCGCGACCCTCACACGCACAGATGCGGGTTCCGTTCTGCTCTGGATGTGAACAGGGCTCCGGAATGAATCCCGTTCGCATCCAGAGGTACCACTGTAGTCAGAGCCTTGATCCATCTCAGTCTGTACTGTCTACTCTGATTGGCAACAGTGCTTTAGTTATGCAGACAGGAGTCTTTCTCAGCCTTCAGTGGGGCTGTCAATCAGATTGGATTGGCAGCTCTCACTGAGGTGCTGCCCTTCGCCAGTTGAAAGCAGTGAACTGGGTATTTGGGCACATCCAGACAGGGGCTTAATTTGCAAACGGGTCATACGGGCAGGCATTTGTTATGCCAGTTATGTCATATGGATGACACAGAAACGGATAATCAGTCCGGCAGGCATTCGCTTGATCCCTTGACACCTGTTTTAATGGGATTGTTTTGTTGCATATTTTAAATGAAGTGTGTTTTAACTGCGGTGCATTTTCCTAATAATGTTGTGCAGTTGGTTTTTTATATTTTGTAAACCTCTTTGTCATTCAGCGGCATTCTCTGCGGCAGCCCTGACATTGTGGAATTCCCTCTCCACAGGCAAAAAGATGGCGCTTCTTGCTTCAAAACTATTGTTTTTAATCATATGTGCATGCATGGCCCACGTGTTTGTTGGTTGATTTTGTTACATTCATATCGCACCTTTCCTCCAAGGTGGAATCTGGACATGATGGACTCCAAATCCCACCAGCCCCAACCAGCTGGGAATAATGGTAGTTGTAGTCCAACAAAACAGGAGGCCCACAGGCTCCCTATCCCTGGCCTTGAGCTTAACTGATAAGCAATGTGTATGTTGATGGGGCAGAGAGGGCGAGAGGAAGCTCCCTTCAACTGTTCCATCTCTGCCCATTGGATGGGGACGCGCTGGTCTTCTCCTTGTAGCGACGTTCTTCCTGGAAGGCAAGGCTGCCCCTTGTACCCCTGCTTGATCGAAGAGGCCAGTCATGCTTCCCTCTTGCTTTCCAGTCCCTAAAACAGGGTGTTAGGCCTGCCTTAATTCCTTCAAGGGAGAAGCAAGATCTAAGACAGGGGTCAGCAACCTTTTTCAGCCGTGGGCCGGTCCACCATCTCTCAGACCACGTGGTGGGTCAGACTATATTTGGGGGGGGGGAATGAATGAATTCCTGTGCCCCACAAATAACCCAGAGCTGCATTTTAAATAAAAGGACACAATCTACTCATGTAAAAACACGCTGATTCCCAGCAGGATTCAGAAGGTGATTGGGCTGCATCCGGCCCATGGGCCTTAGGTTGCCTACCCCTGATCTAAGAGCTGCTTCTTCTCTGGCCAGGGGTTTGGGGCCAGGCTAGTCTTCTCCTTCTGGACACCGAGTTCAGATGTCTGGTACCACATCCAAGAAAAAGATTTTTAAAAGTAGAACTGAACGAGGAAAGGTTGCCTTCTTGTAAGCCCAAGTTCTTTGCTTCCGTCTAGAGCAGGGGTAGGCAACCTAAGGCCCATGGGCCGGATTTGACCCAATCACCTTCTACACTTCCACCACAGGACCGCCTCTCCCAGTATGCCCCACGGAGAACCTCAAGGTCCATAAATAGCAACACCCTAGTGGTCCCGGGCCCTAAGGAAGTTAGATTAGCCTCAACCAGAGCCAGGGCCTTTTCAACACTGGCTCCGGCCTGGTGGAACGCTCTGTCTCATGAGACCAGGGCCCTGCAGGATCTGATTTCTTTCCGCAGGGCCTGTAAGACAGAGTTGTTCCGCCTGGCCTTTGGCTTGGAGCCAATTTGATTCCCTCCCTCTCTTTCTTTTTTCCTTTTCCTTTCTCCTCCTGTGATGAGGCTGCATTTTAATATTTTAATGTTTCAATATTTTAATCTTGTATTTTAATCTTGTTTTTCATTCAACTTTTTATTATTGCTTGTTAGCCACCCTGAGCCCGCCCTTGGCTGGGGAGGGTGGCGTATAAATAAAAATTATTATTATTAATGTGTACGCAGCGTTTGTGCTTGGGCAGCAGAGGGAGCAGCGGCAAAAGCCACCTGGCCACAGCCTTGCCCGCTACGGTGTGATATATTGTAGCTGGGGTTGTGTTTTTATGGCTCAAAAGGGGAGAAGAGGCCTGGAAACACAGGACTGTGCATATTCCATGTGCAAACACAGGGACGAATGTTGCAAAATTCATTCTTTTGTTAATCAAGGGGAGTGGTACATTTCCACCCTTAACCACAGGAAATCTTATTCAACAGCTCCTCAGGCTTCTGATGAAATTTCGCCCACTTATTTTTAAGCATACTTTTGCAACCATAAGATCTAGTAACTTAGCGTTTTTTTTGGAGGGGGGGAAAAAGCTTGGTACAGTACTGAGATTCTCGGAAATCCAGTAGCCAAAGAAGCATTCCTGGGCTTTCTCAGTGTGCGGTTGCCTGGAATCACAGAATATACATGGCGGAGAATATGGTTCAGCTGGGGACCCCTGTGCTTAAAGAAAGATTCCTCTTCTGTGGCGGTTGCCTCGCCATACCCCAGAAACAGCTGCATTCCATTGTTATCAGCCTTTGATGGTAATCATGGAAGAAGCAAGAACTCCCAATGATGCTCTTTCATTCAGGGCTGGCACCCAGTCAGAAGGGCTGCTGCTGGTGCAACCCAGACACAACCAATCTGCTTCTCCAGATTGCCATTGCGGGGTCATAAATCAACTCTGACAGCATCATGGGCACGTGTGCAATGAGCAGGCGGGTACTTTGTCATCTTGGAAGCCGCTGCAGGAGCAGAGCAGTGTGGGCTGTGGAATCTTAACACTTTATGGGGCGGTAGGCAGACCAAGGTCTGGGGGTCAGATTCGGCCCAATCTCCTTCTAAATCCAGTCCAGGAATCAGCGTGTTTTTACATGCGTAGAATGTGTCCTTTTATTTAAGACGCATCTCTGGGTTATTGGTGGGGCCTGCCTGGTGTTTTTACATGAGTAGAATGTATGCTTTTATTTAAAATGTATCTCTGGGTTATTTGTGGGGCATAGGAATTCTTTGATTTCCCCCAAAAAATATATATTCTGGCCCCCTACAAGGTCTGAGGGACAGTGGACCGGCCCCCTGCTGAAAAAGCTTGCTGATCCATGACACAATGAGCATTTATTCTGCATTCACCGAGATTTGCTTGTGGTGTGTTTACCTGTCTTTCCATTAATCATTTGTTTCCTGCATTTCCACACTTCCTTAGTGCAAAAATTCAGTTTCGGTGCCTCTGAACACCAGGTGCTGTGGACCAATAAGAGGGTGTGTGTGTGGATGGATGGCTTTCGTTCTCCTGCCCTGCTTGTGGACTTCTCTAAGTTGTATCAGACTGGCCGCTGCTCCAATTTTTTGCCTGCCCTTCAACATCAGGTCCTTCGACGGGTTTTAACCATTTAAACCACAATATCAAAAGCAGCTAAAATTAAATTCAAGTCACAAGAATAGGCAAGTTGAGGGACCAGCCCAAGTAAGGGATTGAACCCAGGTCTTCGCCAACCAAAGTCCAGCACTCTTAAAGAGGATGGCAGGGCCCGACAGAATTTGGGTCTGTTCCAACAGTGTTCTTAGGTGCACAATGATGTATTTGGTTATTGTTGTATAATAGGCTTGTCAGCTGCCTTGAGTACCGTAACATAGAAAGGCAATATACAAATTAAAAAACTAGCATGAAAAATCCAGGCTCCTAGGCGAGAAAGAAAGAAAGAAAGAAAGAAAGAAAGGAAGGAAGGAAGGAAGGAAGGAAGGAAAAAGCAGTGGTGAAATATACTCGGAGTCGAGTGTGGATTTCATGCTCTTTATTCAGCTCAGAGTAGTGAGGAATGGAAGTTCCCCTGAAATGTCTGCTTTATATACATTATTTACACAATGGGCCCCATGTGATTGGCTAATTCTGGGATTCTCCTGTAGGCCAATCAGGCTGCGGATTCACTTCCGCCCGGAGTTGGATTGGGTGGCCTACGGACCAGTCAGACTACTGCATTCTGAATCCTATTGTTCTAGGACTAATCAGACTACTGCATTCTGAATCCTATTCAACTCAGTACATAAGAAGTGGGAAGACAAATCTTGCCCTGCCCTATCCCACCAAATTCCCAGAAACATTCTCTCTTTAACCTGCTCTTTACCTCCCTGCAGGGGAAAAACTAAGCTTTATTTCACCTGAGTCAAAGACCCAGTTTGGCAAAAGCAAAAACAGAAAAGACACACACACACACACAGAGAGAGAGAGAGAGAGAGAGAGAGAGAGAGAGAGAGAGAGCACCTCAATCGCACCCCTCTGGAGGCTACACCCAGGGCAAAAAAACTCAGCTATCCCCTCCCCATAGCTATGGCTCTGCCTCCCTGTATTGATCTCTGCCGGCTCTCTTCTTGGCCTGGTGCCTTACCAGTCCAGAGAGCCCCCAAACCCTTCTCTCCAGGGCAAGCGCTCTGTGGCTTATAAGAAGGCTGTTTATCTTTCCCTTGCAGAAACAGAGTTGGGCACCCTCGTGGCTTCATGAATGTCTAATCCAGGCAGCTGCACGCTGCAGATTCACAGAGCCAGCTCTGAGGTAAGAACCTGTGGGGAGCGGGGGGAGTTTTATCAAGGACCAGATGGGCAGTCCCACCCATGCCAAGCTGAGACTAAGACAAGGAGCACGGGGTGTGTGTGTGGAAGGTTTATAGGAAATAGACCCCAAAACACAGGTTCCTGTCTACCACTAACCTTGCTGGCTGCTACCCCAAGTCCCCGGAAAATGTTGGTGCTTCCAAAAACTCTAGAGCCGTGTTCACATCTAATTCAGTCCATTTTCATCTGTCATTTTCATTGCCCAGGTTCATTACATGTTTCCCATATACAGTGGTACCTCGGTTTAAGTACTTACCGTATTTTTCGTCCTATAGGGCGCACCGGCCCATAGGACGCACCTTGTTGTTGTTTTTTGGGGGGGGGAAATGAATAAAAAAAATTTATTTCCCCCCCCCACCGCAGCTGCCGCCCCAAACCTTGCGCACACCTGCCTGAAGCACGGGGCACCCTCCGGAGGGCTCCCTGTGCTTCGGGCGACAGGCTGCCGCCCCAAGCCTCGCGCGCTCGGTGGGACCTCCTGCCGGGCGTGCAAGGCTTGCGGACACTCGCCGGGGCTGCAGGCTGCTGCCCGCAAGCCTTGTGAGCCCGCGGGAACTCCCACCAGGCTTGCAAGGCTTGCTGATAGCTTCCTGAAGCCTGGAGAGCGAGAGAGGTCGGTGCGCACCGATGCCTCTCGCTCTCCAGGCTTCAGCGAAAGCCTGCATTCGCCCCATAGGACGCACACACATTTCCCCTTCATTTTTGGAGGGGGGAAAGTGCGTCCTATTGGGCGAAAAATACAGTAATTCGTTCCGTAGGTCCGTTCTTAACCTGAAACTGTTCTTAACCTGAAGCACCACTTTAGCTAATGGGGCCTCCCGCTGCTGCCGTGCGATTTCTGTTCTCATCCTGAAGCAAAGTTCTTAACCCGACGTAATATTTCTGGGTTAGCGGAGTCTGTAACCTGAAGTGCATGTAGCCTGAAGCATATGTAATCTGAGGTACCACTGTAGTGGCATTTTTCTTCTGGGTGGAAGGTGTGGGTTGAGGTTTTATTTCAGGTTCCCCCCCTCATCTCTGAAACAAAAGCTGATTATTATTTTTACCTGTTGTAGTTATGTACAGTGGTACCTCAGGTTATATACGCTTCAGGTTCCAGACTCCGCTAACCCAGAAATAGTACCTCGGGTTAAGAACTTTGCTTCAGAATAAGAACAGAAATCGTGCTCCGGCAGCAGGAGGCCCCATTAGCTAAAGTGGTGCTTCAGGTTAAGAACAGTTTCAGGTTAAGAACAGACCTCCGGAACGAATTAAGTACTTAACCTGAGGTACCACTGTACACTGAAATAGATTTGATGCACAAATGAGTGGTCCTCCAATGTTCACCTTTCAGATACTGTTACCACATCAATGTACCTGCCAAGGAACATCCTTAAATAGTTGCAAAGGATTCTGGGAAGTGTCCTAAGGCATGCACTCGGTTGACATTGCCCTGATGTGCAGTTAGGTCATTTTAGCTGTGGACTTCATGGTCTCTTACCCCTGCTCCCCTTTTCGGGAGGCCTTGCTTCATTTAGGCTGCTTCCAAACAGCTGTACGTTGTGGGATGACGTGACGCTGTTGGAGCCCAGTGGAAAAGCATTGGCCTCACATGAGGATGGTCCAAGGTCAGTCTGTAGATAGAGCTGGGAGAGACCCTGAAACCGTGGAGAGCTGCTGACAGTCTGTGTAGACAGTATGGATGAAATATACTCGGAGTAGAGAGTGGATTTCATGCTCTTTATTCAGCTCATAGTGGTGAGGAGGAATGGAAGTTCCCCCACTGTATCTGCTTTATATACATTATTTATACAATGGGCCCCACGTGATTGGCTAATTCCAGGATTCTCCTGTAGGCCAATCAGGCTGCGGATTCACTTCCACCTGGGGCTGGATTGGGTGGCTCCTGCGGACCAATCATACTGCTGCATTGTTCTAGGACCAATCAGATTGCTGCATTCTGAACCCTATTGTTCTAAGACCAATTAGACTGCTACATTTTGGATCCTATTCAACTCAATGCTCAATTCAACAATGGAGCTAGATAGACCAACGGCTTCTTCCTATGAAAGATTCACAATGGTTGAGTTCCACCTGACCCCGTTTTCTCTTTTTGCATTGCAGAACTTTGCTGCCACAGCTAATTTTGGGGGGACCCAGCTGGAGCAGAGGCTGGACAGGGCCCAGCCTGACAAAATGCCCCCTTTCCCACCCCAGCAAGGATGGGCTCGGGGAACCTTCCTCCCCTTGTACAATCCCCTGGCAGGGGGGGAGCTTGGCCCCCAGGGACAAATGGAGCTCACCTGGCAAGAAATCCTCTCCATCTCAGAACTGCAGGTAATTTGAAATTTAAAAAACTTTATTGTCACTTGTACAACTTGTATACAGTGAGATTACACGAGCACCCCCCACTCAGCTCTCTTAGTCTTAATTCCCCTTGTTTACTGACGCACACCCACCATACCTGAAAGTCAGTTGCCCTGTTGTTATCTTTTCATTCAGCAGCCTAACAGCCCATGGATAGAAGCTGTACTTTGCCCTGTTGGTGTGACTAATCATACTTCTATATCTTCTGCCTGAGGGCAGGAGATCAAGAAAGTGCCGGCCAGGGTGTGAATCATCCCTGGGAATTTTCCTCACTCTCCTGAGGCAACGTTCTTCCACTATTTCATCCAGCAGATTCACGGGACAGTCCATAATATCTTGTGCTGTATTCACCACCCTCTGTAGACACTTCCTATCAGATGATGTCAAACCAGCGTACCACACCGTGATACTTTCTATTGTTGACCAGTAGAAGGAGATCATCAAATGTTGATTGACATTGTTCTTCCGCAATACTCTGAGGAGATGGAGTCTCTGTTGGGCTTTCTTAACCACCTGGGTTGTACCGTATTTTTCGCTCTATAACACACACCCAACCATAACACGCACGTAGTTTTTAGAGGAGGAAAATCCGTAGGCATGCCACCCATAGGCATTCCCTCCATAACACGCACAGACATTTCCCCTTACTTTCTAGGAGGAAAAAAGTGAGTGTTATGGTGCAAAAAATACGGTATTTATTTTCCAAGTAAGGTCTTCACTGAGATAAACTTCCTCCGAAAGTCCAACACCATCTCCTTTGTCTTGCTGATATTAAGGTGCAAGTTGTTCCCTAGGCACCATGTAGATATTTGTTGAACCTCCCCTCTATACGCTGATTCGTCTCCACCTGTTATTAAACCCTTTATGGTGGTGTCATCTGCAAACTTAATAACTGCACCCTGTGGAACACCCTCCCTTCAGATGTGAAGGAAATAAGCAGCTATCCTATCTTTAAAAGACATCTGAAGGCAGCCCTGTTCAGGGAAGTTTTTAATCTTTAATGCTGTACTGTTTTTAACATTTGATTGGGAGCCGCCCAGAGTGGCTGGGGAAACTCAGCCAGATGGGCGGGGTATAAATAATAAATAATAAATTATTATTATTATTATTATTATTATTATTATTAACTGGCCAAGGCAGCAGCTAAGAGAAGGCTTTTGCTGCAATTAGCAATTGGTAGAGATTGGAAGCGGCCAAGAGGGGAGATGAAGAAAGGGCATGTGATTACTGCGTGAAGAACTCTCTGTCCCACTGCTATTCCCAGAAAGTCATTGTCTCTCCAACTGAAGAACAAATGCTGGATCTCAGCCTTCACCATGCTGATGTTTTGACTGCAACTCCTATCAGTCCCAATGCTGATAGGGATTGTAGTCAAAACATCCAGAGTCCACCAGCCCATCTGAAAGCTCCCTATGCAGCCACACTGCTTTCTTTAGCTGCCGCCTCCTTCAATTTCTTGTTGTAATTGTTTGCAACTGTACCTTCAATATATCACCTTTTAAGAAACTCCCATCCATCTTAATCTCTCTGAGTATTTCTGACTAGGGGATCTCACCCAGTAGTTCCTTAAGATTTTAAAAATCTGTTTTCTTAAAATCCAGAGTTTGTGCATCTGACCACATCCAGCTTTCCCCTCCTTTTGCATAATGGATCCCAGTAGGTCACTTCCACCCAAGCTTCTCACTACGTTGGTATGGATCAGGTCCAAGATAGTTGATCCTCTTGTTGCTTTTTCCACCTTCTGGGAAATGAAATTTTCAGCAAGGCAATTGTGAAATTTGTTGGACCTTACATTTTTTTGGGCAGAGTTCGAGTCCTGACGGATATCAGCTGAGGTCTCCCATGACTACTATATCTCTGAATGTTTGGTAATCTGCTATAATAAGACGTCATCCCATGTTTTGTCTGGCTTTGGAGGTTTATAGCAGACTCCCACACTGAAGATACTGTTGTTTGCCTCTCTCATAATTTTTACCCAAATAAGAGAGTAAGGCAAATGTTCAAACAGAATACTGAAAAACAAAAAGAACCCAGTCACTCCAAATTTTGACGAATTCTAACCTATTTACTAACACCACAGTGTTCTCAGTCTACTTATGAGTAAGCAGTGAGGATGGTCAGTTTCCCAGTGAGTGGTCAAGGTCTGTACCCCTGATGATGGGACAGGACAATGCTGCTTGGACAGCCTTTTTTTTTAAAAGGACTTTCTCCCCCCCCAATTTTCTATTGATTTTTACAGTTTACATTTATATTCAAATAATAATCATAATCATACATACAAAGGATTCCATTGGACTTCCCTCTGCCCCTCCATGAGTTCCATCAACATTCCTTTTTTCAACTAGTAGCACCTTAGGTAAAGGTAAAGGGACTCCTGACCATGAGGTCCAGTTATGGACGACTCTGGGGTTGCGGCGCTCATCTCACTTTACTGGCCGAGGGAGCCGGCGTACAGCTTCTGGGTCCTGTGGCCAGCATGACTAAGCCGCTTCTGGTGAACCAGAGCAGCGTACGGAAACGCCGTTTACCTTCCCGCCGGAGTGGTACCTATTTATCTACTTGCACTTTGACGTGCTTTTGAACTGCTCGGTTGGCAGGAGCAGGGACCGAGCAATGGGAGCTCACCCCTTCGCAGGGATTCAAACTGCTGACCTTCTGATCGGCAAGCCCTAGGCTCTGTGGTTTAACCCACAGCACCTTAGAGACCAACTAAGTTTGTTCTTGGTATGAGCTTTTAGTATCTGAAGAAGTGTGCATGCACATGAAAGCTCATACCAAGAACAAACTTAGTTGGTCTCTAAGGTGCTACTAGACAATTTTTAAAATTTTTAAAATATATTTCTACTGCGCCAGACCAACACGGCTACCACCTGAATCTTTTTTCAACTGCATCTTATAAAATTCTCCTTTTTGTTAAAAATCCCTGTTTTCCCATAGTTCTTGTTTCATTACAAGTGTTACAAACCTGCCAAAGTTTTTAGTTGTTTACAGTGTTCTCCAAGATAGAATTACAATTTTTTCCCATTCCTTAGTAAAATTTCTATCTTCTTGATTTCTGATTTTCCTGGTCATTTTCACCATTTCAGCGTAATCCATCATCTTTATCAGCCATTCTTCTCTGGTTGTGACTTTGTCTTCCTTCCATCTCTGGGCCAGAAGTAGTTTTTAAAGGACTCTCTGAGCCCGAACTGGATTTGGTGACACCTGGCTCCTTCTGACCAATGAGAGCCAATGTCACATTTCTCAGCTGAACAGGGGAAAGCTTTCAGAAGACTTGGAAAGGTGACAGACATTCACTGGCACAGAGGGAGATGGGCCATCTCCAATGTAAATCAAACCTTGAGTCCCCCCTCCCAACACCTTTCACTGCTAGACACCTTTAATGTCGTCCTGTGAATTGGAATAACTGGCAAGCAAGTGAGCAAGGATTTCTTGACAGATACAACCCACATCAATTGCTATTACTTATGCTAAAGTATATGCACCAGAGTAAAAAAAGGTAAAGGACCCCTGACAGTTAAGTCCAGTCTCAACGACTCTGGGGTTGCGGCGCTCATCTCACTTTACTGGTTGAGGGAGCCGGCGTTTGTCCCCAGTTTTTCCGGGTCATGTGGCCAGCATGACTAAGTCGCTTCTGGCGAAACCAGAGCAGTGCACGGAAACGTTGTTTACTTTCCTGCCGGCGTGGTACCTATTTATTTACTTGCACTTTGACGTGCTTTCCAACTGCTAGGTTGGCAGGAGCAGGGACCGAACGGGAGCTCACCCCTTTGCGGGGATTCGAACTGGCGACCTTCCGAGTGGCAAGCCCAAAGCTCAGTGGTTTAGACCACAGCGCCACCCGCGTCCCCTATGCACCAGAGTAAGACATGCTAAAACTTCCTGGTATAGTCAGGTATTATAATGTAAACCTATAGGCAGTTCCTCCAAGGTGCAAGACAGGGCAACCAGATTTCCTAGATCCTACAGCAATCAATCATAGTCTGATGCAGTTCTTCAAGGTTGCAACAGGTGAAGTGGGGTGACGTTCAGGATTTTCCTCTGCACTCTGGATGCTCTGCTGCTCATTTATATTATGTCAGAGACAACAAAGGATATATGTGCACAATTCACCTGCAATAAGGGGATGATCATATTGGTTTACCTTAACAGGGCGGTTGTGCTACTTGAGAGACAGTAGTGAAAGTACTGTGAACATCTTGCAAGCCCCCCCACCAGTGTTCAGGTTCTGTTACATAACAGTGGGCAGAGATGGGATTGGCTGCTGATGTCACAATAGCCCTTAACTACGCACTGAGTGTTGCTTTTCCTTTGCTGCAGTTAAGGTTACTAGATTTTTTCCAATGAATCTGGGGATACTTTTAAACTTCAATGGGTTTTGTATGGGAACTGGTTCGTAAACCCGGGGACTGTCCCCGGAAAACGGGGGTGTCTGCTAACCTTATCGTAGGAGGTTGTGGCATTTGGGCGGGGGCAGCCCTCCCCACCCCCAGGGGAAAGGCCACAGGGCTCCTTCCGATCCCTCTCAGCTTCCTGTTTGTCTTTCTCCTGCTCAGGATAGCAAAGAGCTTTAGAAGGAGATGGAAGCACTGTCATCTGCAGCATTAGTATTAGAGATTATAAAACTAGCAAGTGAAACCACCAATGAATATCTGCAGTGTATCCTTGCCCCATGGGACGCGGGTGGCGCTGTGGGTTAAACCACAGAGCCTAGGACTTGCCGATCAGAAGGTTGGCGGTTCGAATCCCCGCGACGGGGTGAGCTCCCATTGCTCGGTCCCTGCTCCTGCCAACCTAGCAGTTCAAAAGCACATCAAAGTTCAAGTAGATAAATAGGTACCACTCTGGCGGGAAGGTAAACGGCGTTTCCATGCGCTGCTCTGGTTTGCCAGAAGCGGCTTAGTCATGCTAGCCACATGACCCGTAAGCTGACCCTCGGCCAATAAAGCGAGATGAGCGCCGCAACCCCAGAGTCGGCCACGACTCGACCTAATGGTCAGGGGCCCCTTTACCTTTACCCTTGCCCCCTAAAAGAGAACTCCAGCAATTTCCTTCAAGGAGGGCATTCCACTCTACTCTGCCTCCTCCTTTTTCGTCACTCATCCCTGCTGCTTCAAAGTGGGCGGAGCTGCCTTCCTTTTATCATTATTTGTCCTTTTGCAAAACCGCAGAAGAATGCAAGATTGAAATCCTCCCATGTCTTGCATGAGCGTGAAACTTTTTGCTGAAGCAAAGATGGCAGCCCTCTCTGCATTTGCCTGGGAGCAGGTCTCCTTGACCTCCGCGGAGTTGCCTTCAGAGCTAATGTGCAAAAGGAGGAGCTGTTAGGGAGAGGAAGGAGGAATATGTAGCATCCTAGACAGCGCTGGAGCTCTGCATGGGGGGGTTTAGGTCCTCCACGGAGGCGTGGACCAAGTAAGTAGCAGAGTGGCAGGTATCCACTGCGCACAGTTGCCTCCTTCATGATGACTCTCCCAACACAGCCCCATTCAGCACCTGACCCTGGGGAGATGCAAGGTGGGGAGGAACGGTGCACAATGCGGGATCTGTCTGAGGAGATGAATCGCCCTTTTGTTCTTAGGGGGAATGCTATCAACCCATCCATCTCCGCCAGGTAGGCACCTGCGCAGGGGCTCCTTCGCTCCTCTTCCGCCCCTGCATAGCATGCTTGCAGCAGAAGGCTGTGCCAATGAGTAGATGAGGGTTGTGACTGAGGGATGCTCAGACTGGAACACCACCTATTCAGTCATCAAAGAGCAACGTGCTGGGTAAATAGATGGCTAGGGAGAGAAAATTGTTAGGAGAAAGCTGCTACCTACGGAGGCCTCTGTTGGAAAAAGAACGGGAAGGTGTAGGTGGAATCAAAGGAGTTAAACCGAGAGGGGGAACAGGAGTTCATTTGCATGGAAGTTGGAACTTAAGGGATCAGCAGTCGGGGAAACAGCTTAGAACAAGAGCCAGAATTCCTGGGTTCTAAGTTCTGCTTTCTGAATCTCTGGATCATAGGTAGGCAAACTAAGGCCCGGGGGCCGGATCCGGCCCAATCACCTTCTAAATCCGGCCCGCGGATGGTCCAGGAATCAGCGTGTTTTTACATGAGTAGAATGCGTCCTTTTATTTAAAATGCATCTCTGGGTTATTTGTGGGGCATAGGAATTCATTCACCCCCCCAAAAAATATAGTCTGGCCCCCCACAAGGTCTGAGGGACAGTGGACCAGCCCCTGCTGAAAAAGTTTGCTGACCCTTACTCTAGATCTTGATTGGTGTCTCCCTCCTCCTAAGCCGCAGCTGTGACTCTACACCCTTGTATGCAGGGAAATCTTTTAAGCCTGTGCTCAACACCTCTCTCTCATCCCTGCAGGGCCTTGAGATGCCAGCTGAAAGCTGCTATGACCCTGCCTTATGCGGCCATGCACAACCAATGGTGCCACCTCCCAGCTACGGGCCGTGCACAGAGATGGGGGACTGTTCGATTTCCTACAGCCATCCTGCTCCAGCATACGAGCGCCCCTTCCCAGAAACTCTGCCAGGCCCTTGCACTGTCTACAGCTACACCGGCATGCTGATCTCGTCCTCCCTCGAGCCTCCTGGACCTGCCATTCTGGGCGAATGTAAAGGGGCACCAGGGATGGTGCTGGAGAGGGACTTGGCCAGTTGCTATGGGCCACAAGGCCCTTGCAAGCCCCAAGAGGACTTGGAATCAGACTCTGGCTTGTCCCTTAACTACAGCGATGCAGAGTCCCTAGAAGCAGAGGGGCTGGAGAGGGCAGAGTATGCGCCACTGTACCCCATGGACCATGCACCACCCTACCCAATGTTGCCCCCTGTGCCAGAGTTGCCCTGCGCCAACCCACCCCTGGAACATTCTTTGGAGAAAGGGCGGAGCCCACGTGGGGAGCTGGTGGGCAGTCGGGACGAGCGGCGGGCCCTTGCCATGAACATCCCTTTCCCAGTCGAGAAGATCATCAACCTGCCCGTGGACGACTTCAACGAGCTGGTGACACGCTTCCCGCTGAGCGAGCCTCAGCTGGCTCTGATCAGAGACATCCGCCGGCGCGGCAAGAACAAAGTGGCAGCTCAGAATTGCCGCAAGCGCAAGCTAGAGACCCTGGTTCACTTGGAGCGGGAGCTGGAGGAGCTGAGTTGCGAGAGGCAGCGGCTGCTACGGGACCAAGGAGAGTTTAACAGGACCCTAGCGCTCACCAAGCAAAAGTTGGGGGCTCTCTACCACCAGGTCTTTTGCATGTTGCGTGATGAAGCTGGCAACACTTACTCCCCTGAAGAGTATGTGCTGCAGCTCACGGCAGATGGCGGAGTCTTCCTGGTACCGCGAAACAACCAGCCAGACAACCCCAGTGACTGAACAGAGCAGATTCTGGGGGGAGGAATTGCAGGGATTGAATAGACCCAAAATAAGCAACCCTGCACTATTTTCAAGGAGACTCAAGGAGCCTCCACCTCAGGCTTTGAGGCTACCCAAACAGAGGAGCACTGTCTATTGCAAGCCACATGGCAAATGAACGCATATACATATTTGTAACTGAACAAATGCCATTGCTTCTGAACTTAAAAGTGCTTATGACTGTATCTAGGCTGTTCTTTAAACACACAACCGATTTACAGAATTGGGAGAGGGAAACAGCTCTGGGAGCTCGAAGGCAACTAGAATCTATCCAAAGAACTATTGACCTAGCCAAACTAATCACTTTTGTTAGCTTGACATTATTTGCTTCATCCACACACCATTTCTAAGGTTAGTCTTTCCCAGATTGTTTACTGAAGGCAGTACAGTCCTACCTTGGATCTGAAACGGCTTAGTTGCTGAACGTTTCGGCTCCCAAACGATTGAAAACTGGGAGTGTTCCAGTTGTTGGAAGCCAAATGTCCAGTGCAGCTTCTGATTGGCTGCAGGACTCTCAGAATACATTGCTTAGCAACCAGGCTACGACTGTATTCCCAGACCATTATGGAAGAGAGAGTGGGGAACCTCGAACCTCAAGCCAGGGCCCAACCAAATCTTCCTCCAAGCCTCTTTATATGGCCCTCTGAACTCATGCATGGCCTCCTGCTTTATACCTCAAGTGCTGCCTCAATGAAACATGCCCAAGAATTCTTGTTTACCTCAGTGGAAAGGTTGCATAGAGTGTGAAATTTGCCTACTGGCAAGGGGGTTGGACTAGATGACCCTTGGGTCCCTTTCAACTCTTAAGATTCTATTATTCTACTGTGCAAAAGCAAACTTGCATTCACTGTTCCTCCTACTTTTGCCCCTGCCTCCACCCACCCGCTGGCATGCAGCACAAAGACTGAAAAAAGATCTGTATGGTGGTGTTAGATCTGTCTCCTAACAAAAGGTATAGCAACTCATTTAATTCTGATCAGAATTAATTCTCCACCCACCCTGCCTTCCTGGTCTTCGGAAACTACAAGGTCTCTAGAACAGTGATGGGAAACGTAAGGTCTTCCAGATGATGGACTTCAGCTCACAAGCTCAGGAAGCAAGCCTGATGTTGGGAATTGGGAGTCTAGCCCAGACAGCCTGTTTCTTAAATTTATTCTAGAGGGCCAAATGAATTAGCACTAGTGGAGTTGAATCCAGTGTTTCTCAAAAGGGGTTGGCATACCCTCCAGTGCAGAATATTAAGATTGGGGGTAGGGGAGTGCTTCCAAAATGTAGGAGCCACAAAATTTCAACTTTTGAAAATTCAACAGAAAATGAGGCTGCTTGCAATCTTTTCAGAATTGGCCATAGTCATGCTCCATTAAGAGCACACAGGACTCTTCAGACCCCCGTTTCCCCCTCATTTTGTGGAACTATGCTTGCTGTTGGCTACAAGCACCACTTCAGGCATTTGAAGTTAAATACAAGGCTCATCCACAGTGCCCCACAAGTCCCGTATACAAATCCAAGGTTTCCCTTTTGCTCTGCAACTTTCGCGAGGAAAACCCAGTTTACTGTTTAATCAGAACAAACATCCACAGAAAATCCAATTGATATTTGTTCCGATTCAGTGGTGAACAGTGTAAAGACACCAAAACAAACCACACACCAGAGACCTGTGCATAGAAACGAGACAAAAGGAAGTGAATGAACCCTTCCACAAAAAAACTGCAAGGAGGAACCAAAACTGGTTCTATGACCCGTGCTCTGCTAGAATAAATTATGCAAGCCTACTTGACTAAGGCTCAGGAAAGAGCAGAGGCTTTTAAGAACCAGGTGCTGTCCGGGGATCTTACTGTCGCTTCCAGATTGTTGAGGTGCGGTACAAAATTGTTTTAGCCAACTACGTATTACAAACCTGAGTTTTAGCAGGGAGGCTAGCTTGTGGCTCAAGAAGTTCGAAGTCTCTGTAAATTATGGGACCAGCTTATTATGGGACAGGCTTGCACTAGCTCTGGTAGATCAGCCCTTGCTTTTTACCCATGGAAATCAACAACATAATGTGGTCTCTTAAAATGCATGCTGCTTTCCAGAAATGCAGGCCACCTGCATCCCCCAGTATAAGTGTACCAGGGTGTTGGGCAGAACACACTTGTGCAGGAGAGGACTGTGGCATCAAAACACATCTGGCCTGCAAAGCAGCATGGCCACTCACAATGTGTAAATAAGTTGCACTTAAATCTTTCTACAGAATAAACTTGTTTGGTTAAATCGTGCCTCATGTTGCATTTCCCTTTGCATTGTAGCATCAGTATTTTAAGTCATTTTGGTTTTGTGCATCAAAGGTTTGTGGGGCGGTTGTGTTTTACAAACCCGACGGAACTGGCTGCTAGAGCGAATACAGACACCCAATGTATTTCAGGGAAGCAGGATGATTTCAACAAAGCTGTGTGTGCGCTGTGTAAGGAGCAGAGTGCCTCAACCGAGTTATCTGTGTCTGTCCCTGCTTGAAAAACAATGCTAAGAAATGCAAAATATTGCTCATTTTATTAAGATGGGGGTTTTGGCCCCAGTCATTTTATTTATGGAAGGGAGAAATTGTAGGTGTTGAGCAGCTGGAATCTGAAGACATAATTGTAGGTCAACTTCAATAAATTCTGCAATGAAAGGTGCACAATGAAGTGGGAGTTCAACCCTGTTTTTATATGAAGGCCAAGAAGGCTGTGTCAGAATATTATGGAATTCACTACTGCCTTAGAAGTTGACAACTCTGAAAATGCAACCCAGTTGCTACAAAAAAAATATATTACTTAACAGCTATTCACATGAATAGTTTATGTATACAGCTACCCAGTAGCCATTTAAACTTTCTTGGAAAGCTTTGTGGTACGTGAAGTTGAAGAGTCCTGCAAGAAAAGAACAAAGGATGAAACACAGGGAACATTTGAACACACATTAGTATTACTCTTCATTCCTAGATGCAGCCTAGTATTTGCCTATCAATCTAGAAATAAAACAAAATACTGGAATCCATTGAAAGTTAGCCCAGTTGATTAAGAGCAGGCATGTCCAAAGTCCGTTTTGTGGGCCTAATTCGGCCCATGGCAGTTTATTTCCTGGGGTAAAATCCTAAAAAAACCAAACACCTCAACAACTTTGGCCGGCCCTCATGGCCCTTTACTTCATCAAATCTGGCCCTCTTTGAAAAAAGTTTGGACACCACTGATTCGAGTGTGTGGTGCTCATATTGCCAAGGTTATAGGTTCATTCTGCATAGCAGCTACCTGGCATATTTCTTCATTGCAGGGGGTTGGACTAGATCAGGCATAGGCAAACCCGGCCCTCCAGATGTTTTGGGACTACAATTCCCATGATTCCTGACCACTGGTCCTGTTAGCTAGGGATCATGGGAGTTGCAGTCCCAAAACATATGGAGGGCTGAGTTTGCCTATGCCTGGACTAGATGATCCTTGGGTCCCTTCCAACAATTCTATGATTCTATCCTACAGCTAACTATCAAGTGCTTCTTGTATTTTATTGCACCCGGTCACTTCACCACATTCTGCCTCACCCACCTTCTTAGGATTGGCTGGTTTTACCTGGTTTTAACAGAAAATGAGATCCAGGGGCATCCTAGTCCATTTGTCTTGGAGCAGGTGTTTTAGCACCGGACAGCTCTTCTCCTATAAAAAGGAAGACGTGTTAAAATACTCAATACGACCTCACCCTATTACATTTAACAGGTACTTTGCATGGGAGTCCCCTCCCCCCAAAGTAGTCTGCATTTACAGCAGTATAGCCATTGCATTGTGGTACTATGCTTTTATAAGTCCACAAGGCTACCCGAGGAGGAGATAAGAGGCAGTGCTTTCATTAAGTACATTTCATCACCCATGTTGTGACTAATTTTTTTTTTTTTAAAAAAAATAGGCAAGTCAATATTATGTTCTACCCATCTAATGCTTATTTTACAGCACTGGGAAAATTTAAGTAGCTCAACTAGTATTTACAAGGTAAACTCAGCCTCTGAGAAAAGTTTAGCAGGATAACAAAACTGTATAGGACATAAGTAAAATCTGTTCTTACCTACCAGTACAGTAATATAACCTTTCCTTCCTTCTGCGTCTGACTGCTAGTCCTAAGAGCAAGGATCCTTACTCTCGTCTGCCTCCTTCCGGTGGTCACTGAGCACTTTTCTAGTCAGCAGAAGCCTGCACCTGGCTTATCTGTCCACTCGACTCAACACGCGTCTACTCTCAGCTGTGGTAGCGTCTGAGCTGGAAGCCATTCGGAGCTATGCTTGCTAGCCGTTCCTAGTAGCTCAACCATCTGCAAGCCTCCCGGATTTTGTAAAGCTACTTAGTTTTCGGATCCTGGCGTGCTCTCCTCTGTTGTGGTTATGCTACCATGCCAAAACCGAGCATTACTTCGTGAATCCTGAGGTCTCGTCTCCCTCAACAGAATAAGGATCCGCCTGCTATTGCAAACTCAGCCACGTAAAAACCCATCAGGACTATCAGTTTTGCATTCTAAATTAAGCCATTCACCAGTCAAACAAAATGATATATATACAAACACCATTGCAGCTTTAGAAAAAGGTTTAAGCACACGTTAAAACTGGTCTTATTTCAACAAGAGGCTAGGATGGAAATCCTTCATAAGGTGTGCTTAGGTCTCAGTGAAGATTAACTGGACCAATATACTAGGGTTTCCCAAACTTGGGTCTCCAGCTGTTTGTGGACTACAATGCCTACCATCGTTGGCCACTGGTCCTGCTAGCTAAGGTTGATAGTTGTAATCCAAAAACAGCTGGAGACCAAATATTGGGAAAACCCACACTATACAAACCCTCCCACCCTCCACTTTTAAGTGCAGTTTTGGCTCCACCTCACAGAATGGAAAGGTAGACCAGAAAGCAGTTTTAAATTATTACAGCCAAGAGGCCAATATTCTACTGTCAACTGCACTGGGGAGGGAGAAATGCCTGGAACTGTTTCTTCAAAAAAGAAAATACAGACTATCCCAAAAATGGGCTGCGGAGTTCAAGTGCATCTAAGCCATTATGTGAGACAGAACTTATCGGCTGTCCCACTCAGATTAGAAGATGTAGGAATAATTACCAAAGTGCTTTTAGCAGACAAGTAGTGTCTTCAATGCCCACAAGACTAAGGCCCCATCTGCACTATACCATTTAAAGCATCCCACTTTAAGTCATTATTTTTCCCAAAGAATCCTAGGAACTGCCATTTGTTAGGGGTGCAATCCCCTAACCAACTGCAGACCCCGGGATGCTCTGGGGGAAGCCATGAACATTAAAGTGGCATGATGCTGCTTTAAACATCTAATGCAGATGGGGCCTAATTTAACTTTACTTTATTAATCCAAAGAATTTAAAAGCATTAAAGCTGACAGAAAAGAGCTGCTCTTCCTAGACGAGGCCAGGAAACTGGAGGAGCCTTGTTGGGGAGCTGCCTCATATACCAGTTTCACATGTGTACTGCTTTTCTTAGGCACCAGCATTAACCAATGGCCCTATGGAGTTTTCCTGCATTCTAATCAGGAAAGCTTTGTTTATCAACCCAGCAAGAACGTTCAGACCCATTTCTTTTATATGCTGCAATGTTGCATCCCATCAGCACAAGTATTTCCATTTGCACAACAGAAATCCCCATCTGTTCAAGGGTTTGTGAGCAGATTTGGGTAGGAGAAGGGGAGGAGAGAGTTGCTGTTACACGTGGAAATCCTTGTACTGGTGGTTCACTTCACAGCACTATTTTAAACACAACTGCTTCCAGTAAAAAATTCTAATCAACCATAAAGACAGAGGCTAAACAACTGTGGAGTCTTTACCCAGATCTACAGCTTTTAAAAGCTTTTGCCCAACATACACAAACTAATATAATTCTGTTGTCTAGCTACTTAGTAAAGAACTCAACTTGTTTTGTTCCAATCTTCCCCAGTTAACTAGGATGCTCAATGCCTTCTTAATAATTGTAGTATTTCACAGACCAACCCAAACATTTAGCTAGGGGCAGATGAGAAGTCATATTTTACTAGCCTCTTCGGTTATGGAAACAAATCCCACCCCCATTAGGAACAGGTTGCAAAAACCATTTGGACCTGGCATTAAGCTCCAGTATTGGAGATTTTACAACCTTCAGCAGACTCAATCAACTGGCCCTGGCTTTAAGACTTTTAAAAGGTGTGTAATTTAAAAATGTGCAGGGCTGATACTGGTAGCGTATCTATGGCACTCCAGAACCAGCTGGATTTCACAAGTATCACAGCATACCCCAATATAAATATTACTATGAGTCCAAAGTGCCATTTCAAGGGTTCAATGGCAGGTGCTTATACTGCCATTGCAATTGCGGGCAGTACTGCTATTTGGTCTTTGACACAGTATTATAGACCTGTCAACAGGCATTGATACCCTTTAAACTAAGCCTGCACAGCAACTATGCAGCTAAAACCAGTACATATTGACTTACAGTGAAACTTAACTTATACACGGCACATTTTAAAAAAGACACATTTATTCAGCGTCATGATCAGTCTATTACAGTTAGCAATCAACAGCATGGGTGTGGAAAAAAATAATCATCTACATAAAACCCTTGTTGGAATGCTTTGCACTTTCCACAGAACACAAAAACTAAAATATCCTGTTACAGATAGTCACAAATACAGTCCTGATGTTTGCAAACAAGCGCTTGTCTAACACATGTCTTCATGAGGCAGTTCTACCCTGCCACAACTGTGTTTGGCTGAGTTCACAACTGTGGTAACCTGTAGCTTCCCTGTCACTTCTCTGGCTCTCCTCTCCTGCTAAGCTTTGTTTCCTGTTGAATAATACGGAATAAAGTTGTTAATCTAAACACATTTGAGACTCAAAGCTACAATCCAATAGCAAGCTTCTTCCCACCGACTGCCAATCCATATATTAGCTTTTAACATCTGTATTTTAGTCCAAGTAAGCTTAAACTACAATAACTTTGCTCAGCTAAATTAAGAGTTACAATTAAATTTCATCAGCACTGCATATTTCTTCAATGGTTAAAAGGAAGATTCTTACCTAGGAATTAAAACCGCCTTCCGCCGCCATAGCTACTGCCACTACCAGAGCCACCGTAGCCACCTGAAATAATCAAAGTTGCATTTTCAGAGAGGTGCATACAGCCAAGAACAGGAGCAGCAAGGTAGGAATTAGCCTCTAGTGTCCTACTAGGTAGACTTATCCCCCCCCCATTCCCTGTGATCAAGGAACGAAACAGAGGTTCATGCAGTTCAACTTTACTACAGTTTAAAGACGCCTACCCCCACTTCCACCATATGGCCCAGAGCTCCTGCCTCCAAAGTTTCCTCCTTTCATAGGCCCAAAGTTTGAAGACTGGTTGTTGTAACTGCCAAAGTCATTGTAGCTTCCACCGCCTCCAAAGCTGCTTCCTGTAGAGAGTAAGAAGCAATGATTTCAACAAGTTACTTGCATCTACCAAACTAGGAACAATTTGCCATCCCTGTCTATTATACCCAGCATCACATGAAGATATACATACTGCTTATCTTCTCCAGAGACAGTTTTGCAAAATGTGGAATTACACTGGTTACCCTAGGTGGTCTTTTTTATTTAAGCTACTGCATTCAAAAAGTGCCTTATTAAAAAAAAATCTTTAAATTATGCTTTAAAGATCCCGCTACCAACACAAAAAGTTCAGTTAACCAAAGCAGTCTCGTGTGTGCATCAAGACCTTTAAAGCTTATACTCACTGCAGTCATAAAAGGCAATATTGAACTATACAAAGATTGGCATTCATAGTTTTTTTTGTATTTAGTCCTTTTGACAGGATCATCTTTATGTCTCTTTGCCTTGAAGCATGCCAGTTAGCTCAGTTAGTTAATCTGATGCTGATAATGCCAAGATCACAGGTTCGATCCCCTTGGTGGCCACCTGCATATTCCTGCATTGCAGGGGGTTGATTACATGGCCTTCTGAGTGTCTTCCAACTTTACAATTCGGCTTCTATTATTCTTGTTGCTACTGCTTTACGTGAAGATGTAGAGGATTTGCCATATGGCAACAGGTACTGAAGCAAATGTGAAATTTAATGCCAAGACCACACTGGGAATTTGTCAAAACCAAACTGTGCACGCAGCTGATTATTTTACCACCCAAACGTAACACTTACCACCACTGCCGCCACCAAAGCCGCCACCTCCATTGTTATAGCCGTCATAGCTGCCACTGCTGCCATAACCTCTGCTTCCTCCAGAGTATCCGGGTCCACTACCTCCATAGCCTTTAAGAAAAGGACATGTTCTCGTTCACAGCATAAAGTTCTCAATTAGCATACGTGGGAAAATATTTTTAAAAACTTGAAGAGGAAGGGAAGCTGGGGAAGGTATCAAAGACTACCTGCCCCCCAACCGCAGGTTTATCCATTGCCAGCTGTCATGGGGGAGGGTCCAGTTGGGCTGCTGGGTTTTGATAATAGTCTTTTAATGTTAAGTGCCTTTCAATTTAATTTGTAAGGCACTTTGGAAAGATTTGCATCCTCAAAGCACAGTTGATGCAAACTTACCATCGTTGCCAAACCCATTGTAGCCATCTCCGCTGCCTCCATAGCCGCCGCCGCCACCACCTCCGCCACTGCGACTGCCAAACCCTCCTGAGAAAGAGCACTACTATTAGCACCAGGATCAGTTCATTAAGATGACGGGTGATTAAATTTTAGCTGATTTATTAAAATACAGCTATTACAAACACATTCAAAGCAGGCTATGAAGAAAACATTTTCCAAACATTTCTCTTACTATCTTTCTAGAGAAGTTAAGCAAGTTATTCCTGCAAATCCTCAACCAGAATACAGAGATCTGGGAATTTGTCTTCTAGATGAGTTCTTATACCTTAAAAAAACAAAAAAACCCAAGCTGCACTGGGGCATTGCTCCTTTATTTCTTGTAGCATGGTAGTTAAGCTGATGTTACAACCCACCTCAAATCAGGCTAAAACCTAGTAGGGATTCCTGACCAACCAGCTGAAGACCAATGTTCTGGCTGGTATAGCCCTCCTGCGCGAGATAGGTAAATATGAACATGCAACTTCCGTCTATTTGAATCAATAACTAGACACTGAAATAAGGTTTCTTCTCCCATTTTAGTGCAGTTGGGTTTTTTTTGGGGGGGGGGGGGGTTATAAAACATGAGCCCTGGGCAGATTCTCTGGAATAAGTGTTTGGCAGGGGGTTGGACTCAATGGCCCTTGTGGTCTCTTCCAACTCTATGATTCTAAGTCTTTGAAGCCCTCATGTCAACATTAAATCTTGAAAGTAACCAGTAAAATTGTCCTTACCACGGCCACCAAAGCTGCTGCCACGGTTGAAGTTCTCACCACCGCCAAATCCGCCTCCACGGCCACTCCCAAAGCTGCCAGAGCTACTACGACCTAACAAAAAAAAGAACAACATTCAGCACTACAAAGAGGCACTAGAAGTCTAGGTTCATATCAATCAAAGCCACAAAACTCACCTCTTTGGCTGGATGAGGCACTGGCCATTTCCTGCTTTGACAAGGCTTTCCTGACTTCACAGTTATGCCCGTTCACAGTATGGTATTTCTGAACTATATAAAGAAGACAAAGTGTTGTCAGTATTTCCCTTGCAACTCTAAAATTGGAAGTCAAACCAACTCAAATAATACACTTACTGACAATTTTGTCCACAGAGTCATGGTCATCAAAAGTAACAAAGGCAAACCCCCTCTTCTTGCCACTGCCACGGTCAGTCATGATCTCAATAACTTCAATTTTGCCATACTGTTCAAAGTAGTCCCTTAAGTGGTGCTCTTCTGTATCTTCTTTAATTCCCCCAACAAAGATTTTTTTTACTGTTAAGTGAGCTCCAGGCCTTTGAGAGTCCTAGAATAAGACAGGATAAATGCAATGTTAGGCTTGTATTATCAACTGTAAGCCAGTAGCTACCATTTTATTCTCCCAATCACTGCTCTGCAACTCTCTGTACTGGAGAAAGCTATCATACAGACAGCATGTTTAGGTTAAGTTGAAGACTGGTGTATATTTTACATCAAGGCTATGTGCTGTAGTTCAGAGACAGCCAACAGGTGCTCTTTAGAGGTTGTGGGACTACAATTCCCATGAGTTCCAGCTGGAGAGCACCACAAGTATGCACCACTGAATGTGGGGTGGGGGTGGGGGAGAACACTTCTAAATAAACATGAATTGCTCCACACTAAACAAATCCTGTGTATTCAGAACCAGGAATTGACCAGAGCACATACTGGATTACAGCATTACATGAATACCAACCAACAGAATAGTTGCTCTTATGGCCATGTAAAATATAGCAATGCACAGGGACCCGGCATACCACCCAAGACTTTCATTATTAACTATAATGGTTGAAAAAAACCAAAAGGATGCAACAGGTTAAATATTCCATGACCTACTGGCACTGAAAGTATAGTTTTAATTACATTGTACCTTCCCTACTGTAAGCTTCCCTACTGGTATTAATATAGTTGCTTTAACTGCAGTTCTGGATAACCAGGTACATGAACACAATGTTTATGGCCTTCAGCCACAGGAAACTAATACAGTGGTACCTCGGGTTAAGAATTTAATTCATTCCAGAGGTCTGTTCTTAACCTGGGTACCACTTTATCTAATGGGGCCTCCCGCTGCTGCTGTGCCGCCGTGCAATTTATGTTATCATGCTGAAGCAAAGTTCTTAATCCGAGGTACTATTTCTGGGTTAGTTGAGTCTGTAACCTGAAGCGACTGTAACCCAAGATACCACTGTACAGCACTTTGGTACACTCCTCACTAGTGCAGCCGACAGCAGCTCTCACCTCTCTGGATACAGCTCTTTTTGGTTCAACAACTCTCCCATCAACTTTGTGGGGCCTGGCATTCATGGCAGCATCAACCTCTTCCACTGTTGAATAGGTGACAAATCCAAAGCCCCTGGAGCGCTTAGTGTTTGGGTCTCGCATCACCTAGTATAAAAAAAGCCAAGTCAGATTATTTCACTTTGTTCTAAGGATACAACACACATCATAGCATGCCATGGAATGCATGATTCTTACAGGACTCAAAAACATTCATTTTTCTTGGGTAATAACCTCTACAACACCAAGTAACCAATGTCCCCACCAAAATGAAAAGCCAATCCCCATATAAACACCTACCACACAGTCTGTAAGTGTGCCCCATTGTTCAAAATGATTGCGAAGGCTTTCATCTGTCGTCTCGAAACTTAGGCCGCCAATGAACAGTTTGCGTAGCTGTTCAGGTTCCTTGGGGGACTGAAAAAGAGAAGAGTAGGGAAATATAGAACAAGGAAGGTGGCACTGTAGGACTCTCCCATCGAACTACAGCTTCATGTAGATAAGCAGGCCTACTAATGCACAATAATCCTTGGATGAGTTAGCACACTTGTTACCTATTTCCCTGCTAGCACCCTAACTGGTATCAACATGCCAGCAAAGCTTCTCAACAAGAGTAGGGGCACACTCCAATCCTGCATTTGTCACTATTTCACATAATCACTATATCCCAAATAACCAAGGACTGCCTTTTATTCTTGTTCTGATAACCGTTTATTTATTATTTATGCCTTTTATTCTTGTTTTCAGCTACACATTATGATGTATTAAAGCAATAGGAAATGCATCAGCTATGTATTCTGCTGCTTAATTTTATAAAACACAAGTATGCTTTCCAAGTCTTGTTGAGAATATTGCTCTTCCTTCACTTAAATCTGCCCTTCTACAAATAAACACACTTCTAAGGAAGACTACAAGCTACCTATCAGAATCCATTTCTAAGAAAAGGGGAAAAAACCTAAAGGGGGCAGGAAAGCATCAAGTCTATTTTCAGCTACAGGATGGCAACATTGTAGTATTTTAGGTCTCTTGGCAGAGCTAGAAACTTTGTAGCCCTAAAATGGCCAAGATTTTCAAGCTGTTCGCTAATAGTAGCGCCCCAAGTTCTACATACCAAGTTGGGAGTAATGTGCTTACGTACGGCAGGCCTCCCTACTGAATGATAAACATGCATTATGTACACGAATCCCAAGAAAATTATCACCCAAGAGACAGGGGCGAAAGCGTGAAAGACATCCACGGTTGCAAAGGGAAAGTTGGCGAAGGGAAAAACTGGCGAAATTTGCGGGGGGGGGCGGAGAGGCTGCAGACAAAGCAGGAGAGCACGTGGTGTGCGCACGTCCCCATCCCCCACGCAACTCGAAGAAGGGGAACCGGAGGCCAGTGCGCAGGCGCGCGCCAATCCTCCTAGCCCGCAGAGCGCAGGCGCAGCCATTCCAAGCGTCGGGGAAGAGCAGCGGTGACCGCCACGCACTGTGAAACATGGCGCCTGCCCTGGAAAGCCAGCGCGCATGCGTAGCCCGAGGGGAAAAAAAGAGGCCAGGCGGCAAAGGAAGGAAGGCCGACACCTTGAAGCAGAAGGCGAGGCAAATGGCGGGGAAAGAGAGAAAAGAATTCCGGGATGGGGATAGGGAATATATACTTTTTTTTTTAAGACTTACTTCGTGAGGAGACATATCGCACCCGTAATCGGACGATCCCTAAAGGCAAAGGAAACATAATTCCACAAAAACAAGCCACAGGTTGAGGGTCGAAAGAATGGAACTAAACCGCCCGTAATCAGGGCTCTTACCTCAGACTTCGACATGGCGGCGGCGTAATTACAGGCAAGGCCTAGCCCGGCTTCCCCACAAAGCGACGCTGCCTCTCGCTGAAGCCGAGACGAAAAGGGGCCGAGTCACCGAGTGCGCCGCCGCCTCACTAGTAACGCCCACACCGGCCCCATTTCATTGGGCAGGCTTCTCGGCTTCGTCGCTTCTCACTGGACAACGGCCAGATTGCTCTGCTTCCATTGGAAGCTCTCGTAGTGACCCCGCCCTTTTCACTCCGTTATCCGTACCCTCTTGGCTTTCCGTTGGTTGGGTTTTTTGTCACTCTTCCGACTCCGACGGAATTCCCCGCCCTTTACTCCTCAAATAACCAGTCGCAAGCGTTTCTCTTTCATTGGGCAGTTCGGAACGCAGGTTTCTTGCGATTGGCTGGGACCAACGGATACCCTTTCTGGGGGTTGGTTAGCTTTTTATTCATTCGTTCTAATAGAGGCGGGAATTAAGTTGGTATTCCTGAGCGTTTTTTGTGTTGATGGTTGGTATGGTGAAGGCGCGAGCCGGGCTGGGCTCGGGGTGCGGGAGGAAAGAGAGTTCAATACGTGCAACTTGCCTCTGAGGCGAGCCTACGCTGAAGCGCGCTGCACACCTTGCGCATGCGTCACAAAGTCTTGCTTCTGACGAATAACGGGGAGGGGAGGAAGGGAGAGGGGATAAATGCGCGCGCCTCACGCCGGCGCAGTGAGGCTGGGAAGGGGGCGGAGGGTCTGACGCGTGCGCACTGGACGGGGTTTTTGGCGGGCGTTGCGCAGAAGCGGCGGCTGTGAGGGGTTACAAACCAGGGAGGGGGAAGTTGCTTCCGCTCCGAGCCCGCTACTTTCCCCAGGTGAGCGACCACGGGAAACAATCTTGGCGGGGCCGCGTTACCGGGAGCCAGCGGTTCCGAGGGAGGGGGGCGTGGTTTTGGCGTGACTGGGAGCCTGTCCGTGCTGTGAGGTACCGTTGGAAAGGGGGCGAGGCTTGCGCTCTGGGAGGCGGGGCGTTGGAATCTGAGTGACAGCCTCATAGGTCGAAGGGTTGAGGCAGTTGGGAGGGTTAGACCATTGAGGGTCGGAGGGTGGAGTGGCAGCCGGTTTATCCAACGGGGAAGCCGCATTTGCTTGTGGGGCAGGTGGTTTAGCGTAACTGTTTGATTGGCGCGGAGGATGGCCAATGGCGAGGGGCCTCGGTACTATGGCGCTTTTCTTTAGGAGTGGGAGGCTTTCCCGCCGTGAGCTTTCCCTCAGTCTCACCCACCCCAATTCATGTCTTTGGCTACATATGGCCTTGCAGTATTTTGTCCCGGCCCGTAATTTTCAAAGCTGTACACCCCCGCGAACTTTTTTAGAGAAACCTCTTTTAGTCTGCCGTCCACGTTCAGCCCATTCACGCCGGAGAAAGTCTTCGTGCCTTAGTCGCTCGAGGATAAGTGGCTGTGAAGGGCTGGAGTTTTGCGTCTCGTGTTTTCCTCCCGCCGTCTCTGGGGAGTTCGCTGTTTCACACGCTCCTTCGCTCCCGACCCCGGAGACAGTCCTAGCCAACCAGGCAAATCCGCCACCCTTTCACGTACCCCTCTACTCAAGTTTCCAAAACCCGAAATTCCAGAAACTTTCCATTAAATACCGTATTTTTCGCTCTGTAGCACGCACCCGACCATAACACGCACATAGTTTTTAGAGGAGGAAAACAAGAAAAAAATATTCTAAACGAAACAGCGGATGTTTGATTATTGTGGTTCATGCAGTGGCCACAGACATGTGATCTGACGGTGAGTTTGGGGTAGCCCAATGCAAAAATCCTGAGGATCCATGTGGATCCATGCTTTGTAACCACGTTTTTGCACCACTGCGGCCCCAGGCAACAGTGAGTGCATGATTTTTTTGGTGCAAGCTCTAGCCATGGACATGCTATGTGATCTGATGGTGAATTTGGGGTGACCCAGTGCAAAAATCCTGAGGATCCATGTGGATCCGTGCTTTGTAACCACGTTTTAAGTGGGGAGGGAAGGAAAAGCACTCAAGGGACAAGGAACACGCGTGGGGTGGGTGGAGAAGGATGCTGTTAATAATGCAGAAGAGGGGTATAAGAGGAGAAGGCTCCTCTCCTCTCCCGCTTTGCTCCTTTAAAGCAAGCAGGCTCTCTGTCCCTCTCTCCTCCCCACTCAGCGGGTCTTCTCCCGCTTTGCTATTTCAAAGCAAGCCACAGAGGGAAGGAAGGGGAACCATGGATCCTCTGCTCACGACTGCAGCAGATCCCCCCGCCATCCATAGGCATTCGCTCCATAACACGCACAGACATTTTCCCTTACTTTCTAGGAGGAAAAAAGTGAGTGTTATGGTGCAAAAAATACGGTATAACCCCCCCCCCCAATGGAAGATAGTTCCCAACTTATTTGGTGCCCAGCGTATATATAGCACAGGCAAGTTCTGGGAATATTCGGGTATCATTGTATTGGATTATTATCAATAATAATAAATTTTTATTTATACCTTGCACTCCCCAGCCAAAACCGGGCTCAGGGCGGCTAACAATAATAAAAACAAGTGGATTAAAATACAGTTTAAAAGATTAAGTTAAAACATTAGGATGCAGCCTCTTCATAGGAGGAGAAAGGAAAAAGAAAGCGGGGGAGGGAATCAAACTTGAACTTATTAGTGCTCCGCCTTTTCCCCCTGACTGGACTCAAGGCAGTTTACAACTAAAGAACCGCTGAAAACACAGTGGGAGGAAATAGTCATTTAAAAAAATAAAATAAACGTTGAGAATTGGGTGTTGAGTGGGAAGTCTGGAGAGGAAGGACATAGTCCACAAACCCAGGTTCACACTTCAGCAAGTTTTGGTGTTGCTATTGTGGTTGCTGTTGGAGAGTAAGGAGTGAAGGGGCCCCCTTCACATTCATTCACATTGCCCCTTCGCAGTTGCTTTGCTTATTCTGATAGCTGGTTGGACTGAAAAAAAAGAGTCCTAAAATAATAATAATGATTTCTTCTTTACAAGACTTCTGTTGGTCTTTACAGCAATTCCATGTTAAGATACTATGCTTGATCCAACATGAGGGAATGAGAGTGCATACTTGGATTTGTTGGCTGCAAGCCATAAAGAATATCTTATTGTGCATAACAATTGATAAAGAAATGTCCAAATATATATGTTACCGTTTTCTCAAATAAAATCAATGTTATTCAATCCAGAGAGCTGGAGTATCTGTAGGTGTAATGGCACTTAATGCTTTGGATTACTGTCGACAGTAAGATTTGAAAATTGGCTTAGCGCGTTTTGTCCAGCTGTTTGTCCCATGAAGAAAGAAAATTAAAATCTTGCTGCACACAGTGTCGGGCTGCAATGTTCTAGTGTGAAGAACAACTATAGTTTTAAATACAACCTCAGCAGATCACAGAGTCACCTTCCTACTGCTGGGTAGGGGAGCAAGAGAAATCAGGTTTAGTTTTCTTCACACCAGGGCTGAGTCTACACAAAAGGTCATTTGTGCAGATGATGAATTCATTATGTGTGGATCCCAAGTACAGACATGTTGTAGAATATACATTGAATTATGGCTATCTAGAACTTGAAATGGCAGCTGGGATGCTGAGGAGCTTGTAGTTGGCTCTCAGCCACACTTAGGTGGAAGCTGATTTAAATGAGGTACACAAATGCTGCACATATAGGGGTGACCCTCAGCATAGCTAGAATTTTTTCCATTCTTGCCATCTTGTTTAACTTGGCTGGAAGGAAAAAACTGAGTAATGTGAAGATGAAAGCAGCTATAGCTGCTACAAATGGGTAGATAAACAGTAAGCAGCGTGGTATAGAGACCTGAAGAGAAGTGACTGCTCAATGTCTTTTTTCAGTGTCTTGTCAGGTATCTAGTTGCTGTGGGTTGCTAGTCCCTGAGAAATGTTGGAAGAGAAGGCTCTAGGCTTTAAAAATAGATTCAAAATCAAAGCTGCCCACTTACTGAAATTCATTTCCTTCCTGAACAAGCTTTCATACCATAACAAATAAAACATGGTTTGCAGCTAAATAATGCCTTTACATAGACAGAATCAAAACTCTTTGCTCATGTATCCCATGTACTTTTTGCATTGTATTTTTTTTCCTGCTTAGAGATAAGACAAGATAGATTTCTCTCTGTACGCATGTAAGTCTATTAAGCAAAATCCATTTCCTTGACTAAAGTGGTGAAACCTATGTACATGTATTGAGAAGTAAATCCCATTGAACAAAGTGGGTGAGTAAACATGTATAAGATTAACTCCAAGTTTTCATAGCTTTCCATGATGCAAGGGTTAGTTTCTGTGCAAAATAGTATTTCTTCCTGAGATAGAAAGTAATTGCATTTCATTCATAACTTGAAACTGAACACACTGAACTGGTTCGCACCTTACACTAAACCAGAGTTCTAGAATTATGTGCACGAACAGGAAAGAGCTGCTGTGAGCCTGAGGTTTGCACACTTGCCTCTTCCCGCATGGCCAGAAGGAGGATTTGAGCAATTGCACTTTGCCTGAATATTGGCTTGTTGTGGTGACTTGATCTGGTTTATTTCAAAAACACTACTCTTGGCTGTGTCATTTGCAGTACAGTTGTACCTTGGATCCCGAACACCTTGGCACTTGGATGTTTTGGCTCCTGAACGCCGCAAACCTGGAAGTGAGTGTTTCGGTTTGCGAATGTTCTTTGGAACCCGAACATCTGACAGGGCTTCCACGGCTTTCGATTGGCTGCAGAAGCTTCCTGCAGCCAATCAAAAGCCACACTTTGGCTCCAGAACGAATTCTGTTCGACTTCCAAGGTACGACTGTATTTTAAAAAATATACATTGTTTCCCTTGTGGTTTACTTTACTCAAAAATGAAATCTTTAATTCATTCTATTTGGTAGGTAGCTGTGATACTGGTTTTAGGAAGTTTAATGTGTTTCTAGTAAATGTTTAGATTTCCTTTTGAACTAGATTATACAAGACACTTGGATCTTTAAAAAATGAAATGGTAAAAAAAAAAACCCACTTAAAAAAATCATCTAGATTGGGGGATGAACTCTTTTTTAGCCAGACAGCAGAATAGTGATTAGCAAGTCCACCTTTGTCCAACTCGCCCCATGACTTGAAAAGCATTAAGCTAAACATGTAAATTACTTGTTAATTCTATTCTTTTCTATTCCTCCCCATTTATGAATTGCATTACTTGTACAGTGGTACCTCGGGTTAAGTACTTAATTCGTTCCGGAGGTCCGTTCTTAACCTGAAACTGTTCTTAACCTGAAGCACCACTTTAGCTAATGGGGCCTCCTGCTGCTGCTGCGCTGCCAGAGCACGATTTCTGTTCTCATCCTGAAGCAAAGTTCTTAACCCGAGGTCCTATTTCTGGGTTAGCGGAGTCTGTAACCTGAAGCGTATGTAACCCAAGGTACCACTGTATACAAGGTGATACATACATATGCATGCTTGTGTGTATGCAATATGAAAGCTAAATTTAAAGTACCTTAGAATAACAAAAAAGTAGCAGAATTTAAACATTAAAACGTCTTGGGAAGGTTTTCACTTATTTAAAGTTGCACCATGGGCTGCATCTACCTCTACGGCATGAGAACACG